ATGCGTTGGCGTTTATCCTCTACTTTGGGGGGAGAGGGAGAGGGGAGAGGGAGAGGGGAGAGTGGCTGGAGCAGATTGAGAGGGCGTTTTTTAATAGTATAGAGGAGGCAGTAAGAGCAGGTACCATATGTGACTAGGATTTGTTTTCATGTTGAGAGGGAGACACAGACAGACAGACAGACAGACAGACAGACAGACAGACAGACAGACAGACAGACAGACTGAAAAAGCGAGACTAAAACAGTGTCAACAAAGATAATAACCAAATCTTGTCACCAGATGTCTCTAACTGTAATCAACTCTCTATTTTGATCACGTTTATAACTCATGACTGAATTGATGCCACAGATATTGATAACCACTCAAAGAAAACTCAACTGTAGTAGACGCTGTAGTAGGCGACATCTTGATACATGATAACAATCCTTTCCTGTAGCGTGGAGATGAAACTACAATACTCCTCTTAAAGCTGTTGACTTTCACGATGTTACGATATCATTTGATTGAATTACCATATAGAGAGTTAGATTAATGGTAAGGTGTTCTTTATACCTCTCAAGTCAGATAGATTTCTCTCTGGTATTCAATCAAATGTGTGTGTGTGTGTGTAATAATAATAATAATAATAATAATAATTAACGGTTTATTGAAAGAGCTTGGCAGCCAGAAGGCTGAAAATATACAGTTACATATTTGGGGAATGGGTTACGAATTACAAATAATATACAAGTGACATAAGTGACACAAATAAGACATATAGTAACTTAGATGGGGATCAGCTCAAACTACAGTTCATTTCAACATAGTGACAGGTAGGAGCAGTTTACTGGGAGGAATACACTGATTATACATGTTATTATAATTTTACAATGGTTGGGACTGGCTGTTCTTAAGGACGTGTGCACGTATGGGCTGATGCGGTTTGCGAACAGCATCTGACAGGGATTCAGGTAGAGGCGGTCGGGATGTAGAAGCTACCAAATTGAGATGAGGCCGGTGATGGTCAGAGAGTCGAAAGGGCAGGTGTTGAGCTTGATAGGGAGAAGGAGAGAATAATCTTGTGTGTGTGTGTGTGTGTGTGTGTGTGTGTGTGTGTGTGTGTGTGTGTGTGTGTGTGTGTGTGTGTTCAGCATAATATAACGACTAGAAAAGGCAATATACAATAAAACATGCAATTATTATTATACAAAGTGAAAATGAAACGTACTTGGTTCCTTCACTCAATTTACCCGGATTGACAGAGAAGCTTCTTGTACCGTAATCCTGGGCAGATGTGAGGTGTATAAGGAATGAGGTTCGCGTCCCAGGTGGAGCAGCCAGTGTTCAAGGTCCCGCAGTTGATGCTCAGAGGGTGTGTTATAAATCCTACCTATTACCTCTGTTTGATGCTCTTTTGTTATTGTGTAATATATGAGTGTTTATTATTGTCTATTATTATTATTATTTTTATTTTTGTTTACATTATCGTAACATTTTAAAGGTATTCCTAAAAATTGCTACAGATGACCGAAGATCTTACAGGTCCACACACACACACACACACACACACACACACACACACACACACACACACACACACACACACACACACACAGTACTTTAGTTTGAATATAAATAATACAACCACTTATACTAAATTAATACAACACAGGTAATCATACACCTCCCATACATTATACAGTATTATCTTGATTGCTAATAACAGCCCTACACCCATTACACCTCTTAATAAACCCAATAGCCCCCCCATTAACTTAATAGACATTATACTCGTGCTATTAATATGAACTATAGTCCCATAAAACTTAATAGCACTCATACTTACCCCATTAATAGCCTCCTCGTTAGGGTAATAGCAACCACATATGCCTCCTAGTTAAAAGACATACTTGGCATAAATATATACAAATGAATAAAGGCTTAACATTGTGACTAACATGAGAACCTGAACCTAATGGAAATAAAATCAATTAATATGACGTAACAGTCACTAAATTTTCCTCATTAATGAAAAAAACAAAAAACACATTTTAGTAATTAATAAAGAATAAAATATAACATTAAAATACTTACACTTTACCTTTCAATCATATAAACTATTATCAATAAAAGCCAATTTTTCAATACCAATAAAATAAATAAACATTTTTTTGTTATCTGAATTAAAAGGTAAAATATTAATTAATAATTCACCCATAAATAACCGCAATAACAAAACATTAATATGAACTGCCATCCTCCCCTCACTAGGCTCAAACTGCCGTGCTCCCTGACCTCTGACCTTCAATATTTGGCGGCACAATATTCCGTCTTTCATCCTTCTATTACGCCTCTAGGACAGAAACCTTGTGTGTGTGTGTGTGTGTGTGTGTGTGTGTGTGTGTGTGTGTGTGTGTGTGTTGTTATTGTTGTTTTAGGATTAACTAGAACATTCTATGTGTCTCGTGTTCTAACTGGTGTCATTAATAGTAATAGTAATAATAATAAACTCGTACAATAACTTCTTCAATATGTTGGTGACTTTACGAAACTCTAGATGTTGATGAGAAATGTTTGTAAAGTTGGTCGTATTTATTACCAATGATAAAAACTAAGTGAAAATATATTCAACTCTTCCTTTACATGATACCGTCTTTCCTACTTCACCCTCCCCCCACGTCACCCTTCCCCTTACATGTCACCCTTCCCCCTACACACGTCACTCCTCCCCTACACACGTCCTCCTCCCCTTACACCTCACCCCTCCCTCTACACGTCACCCTTCCCCCTACACGTCACTCCTCCCCTACACACGTCACCCTCCCCCACACACGTTACCCTCCCCTACACACGTCAACCCTCCCCTACACGTCACCCTTCCCCCACACACGTCAACCCTCCCCACACACGTCACTCTCCCCCACACACGTCACTCCTCCCCCACACGTCACCTTCCCCACACACGTCACTCTCCCCACACACGTTACCCTTCCCCCTACACACGTCACTCCTCCCTCTACACACGTCACCCTCCCCCTTACACACGTCAACCCTCCCCCTACACACGTCAACCCTCCCTCTACACGTCATCTACACGCCCCTTCCCCTAAATCTGTTGGTGTTTCATTGTTTACATTCTCATGTATAATAAAACAGAGTAAATGGTGCGCTGGTTTACACACACACACATACACACAGACATATGATATTTATTTTTTTCCACGTGTAATTAATCTGGTTGAGTTGAATATTTAATCTACAAATGTCAAAGGTTATCAACTATTTTTGTTTCGTTATGGTCTATTTCCGTTGTTTACTTAATTGTGTAAATAGAGTTTATATAAGACTGCTTTTATAACTGGCCGGGTACTGGAGCTCTGAAACAATGGTGGTTTGTTATTATTGTTATACCACGCAGTAGTTATACCACACAATAGTTATACCACACAATAGTTATACCACACAATAGTTATACCACACAATAGTTATACCACACAATAGTTATACCACACAATAGTTATACCACACAATAGTTATATCACACAATAGTTATACCACACAATAGTTATACCACACAATAGTTATACCACACAATAGTTATACCACACAATAGTTATACCACACAATAGTTATACCACACAATAGTTATACCACACAATAGTTATACCACACACAGATTCAAAAACATTGTATACATCTGCAAACTCAAATCATTAAATTATTACTGGGATAGACACATAAACAAGAAGACCAGGGATATTACATCAAACTACAGTAAAACTAAATGGGTTAATAAAGATAAATACAGCTTAGTTTACCCTTAAAAACAGATATTCTCCGTTTTCTATGAGGTTAGTAGACGTTCGTTTTCTATGAAGTCAGTTGTAGTGGTAGTGGTGGTGGTGCAGGTATCAGTGAGAGAATCATGATCTGTTGGTGCCGTGATTTGCCACTTTTGAGGAGCCGTAATTGCTTCATTAAATTGGGATTACGGGGGATAGCAGCGCCGGCGATAAGGAGAGAGAGAACGGGAGATAGTATTAGTAGAGAGAGAGAGAGAGAGAGAGCAGTAAAGAGAGGGCGGGAATAATTGTAAAGAGAGGAAGGTAGAGTCACCGTTCTTCTAATAGTGCTCATACACACACACACACACACACCTGCTTGAAACATATTGTGTATTGAGCTGTTCCTGTTCATGGCACCTCCCTCCCTCCCTCCCTCCCTCCCTTCCTTCTTTCTTCCCTCCCTCCCTCTCTCCCTCCCTCCCTTCTCCCCTCCCTCTCTCCCTTCTTCCCCTCCTCTTCCTCCCTCTCCCTCCCTCCCTCCCTCCTTCCCCCCTTCTTCCCCTCCTTCCCTCCCCCTCCCCTCCTCCTTCTTCCCTCCTCCCTCTCCCTCCTCCCCTCCTCCCTCCCTCCCCTCCTCCCTTCCTTCTTTCTTCCCTCCCTCCCCTCCTCTCTCCCTCCTCCCTTCTTCCCTCCCCTCCCCCTGTCTTCCTCCCTCTCTCCTCCCTCCCCTCCCTCCCTCCCCTCCCCTCCCTCCCTCCCTCCTCCCTCTCCCCTCCCCTCCCTCCCTCCCCTTCCTTCCCTCCCCTCCTTCACCCCCTCTCCGTTATACCGAACTTAGGATGGGAGATAGACTGTGAGGGCGAGGAACACATCCCTCTTACCATGCAGCAGACCAAACCACACTTGAATATGTGCCGGACTCAGGGAGAGATCTGCAGAGAACACGAAACGATAGGAACGACAATACAAGAACTAGAAGAACGACAATAACAGAAGACAGTTACCAGAAGAACGACAGGAAAGAAAGTCGTTGAACCTGCAGAATATAGAATTAGAACGTCTAGTAATGTAATCTAATCTTATATGGGAATCCTCAAGCCTCTCTCTCTCTCTCTCTCTCTCTCTCTCTCTCTCTCTCTCTCTCTCTCTCTCTCTCTCAACACCGTTCCTTCCGCCTTACCACACACCTTCTTTTCCTACAGGATGTCATAATTAAGCTTCCCCCTCCCCCCGCAGGACACGGCTGGGCAGGAGCGGTACAGGACCATCACCACAGCCTACTACAGGGGCGCCATGGGCTTCATCCTTATGTATGATATCACCAATGAGGAGTCCTTCAACAGCGTCCAGGATTGGTGAGTTGTGTTAGAGTTTTGTTTACCTTTTGTGTTGGAGTTTTGTTTAGCTTTTGTGTTTGTGTGTTTTTGTTTACTCTTGTGTTAGAGTTTTGTTTATAATTGTTAGAGTTTGTTTACATTGTGTTGGTGTTTGTTTACCTTAGTGTTTGGTGTTTTGTTTATATTTGTGTTGGTGGTTTGTTTACCCTCGTGTTGAAGGTGTTCTTTCCGGGTAAGGTAAGAAGGTAGTTAGCATTGTTCAGCAGAGTAATGATAATGGCAAGTCCTCTGTGTGTTAAGGAGCCATAATAAGTGGTGAATAATATTTATCTTCCAGACTGTGGTGTTGTAGAGCCTCTATGTGTCTTCCTCATATATAAAAGCAATTAAATTCTTTCCCAGGAACTATCAAGCATCTAACATTACAACACTCTCTCTCTCTCTCTCTCTCTCTCTCTCTCTCTCTCTCTCTCTCTCTCTCCACGTAAATGGACTTAAATACACAGGCTTTAAAAGTGCTTTTCACAGTTATGTTATTTAGTGTCTTTTGAATAATAAATGTAAGCAAACATTTACAGAAGTGGTGTAGAGGCGCCACAAGCAACGGGAGAGGCAAACGTAGTGGCGGGGACAGCCAACCCGGGGCGTGTGGAGGGGTAACTATGGTAAAGAGAGTCTGACGTGGTGCGTGTCGCATCCACGCTCCCCCAGGATCAATGGTGGACGTTCCCGGATGGCGGCGCCTTGGTCAGCCATGAACAGCTGGCCGCGATGGTTGTTAGACAGAATCTGACTTCACCTAATAGTGTATTAAGACTTATATAAACTTAACTCGGTGAGACTTAGCCTAATATAATAGTTGGGTTGTGGAGTTTTTGTCTAGTAGAAATATTTGGGTGAGATTTTCTCCCATGAGATTTTGTCCAATTTGATGCCACCACATATGGTTTATTCACCAACATTTTGGTTTGTTTAAGACGCCCAGAGTTGTTCTAGATATATTTTTTCATTATAAAACACAGAAGATTTGTTCCCAAGTAATAAAAGGTCGTCCTGAACTACAGTTGATCTCTTCTGAAACGTAGGTGTGGTTAGTTCTGAGACAAAAGTAATACGTTCCAAGCTACAGGTGGCTCATTTTGTCTCAACTGCTGGCATCTTCGTGACGTGGTTCATTATCTTGCTCGAGAGGTTCTCTTTTGATCTCGGCCAAGGCTCTCTGGTGCTCAGTAATAAACGTAACTCTCTTTTATTATATGTGCGAATTACTTGACGCAAATTGTGTGTTTTTTGCATATGAGAGAGAGTGGGGGGGGGGAGATTACGTTGGAAAATATATCCTCATAAAATCAGTTAGCATTCACTGTTTGTTAGAGTGGAGGGGGAATGTATATCTGTATGGTTGTATATATGCTTGTGTAGGCGTATATATGTGTATGGTCCGTAGCATCATAGGTTACATCGTTACATAAGGCAAGAACCACCTGACACACATGTTTAATTAGCAACAGGTGAGTGAGGGAGGGAGGAAAGAGGAGTCACTGAGAGGAGGGTGGGAGACGGTTAGAAGAGGGTGTAAGAAAGACCAAAGTCAAGGAGGAAATATTGAAGGAAGGGAAAGGTAAGGGGAGGTGGCAGGGGGGTGAGTCAACCGTTGTATATTTAGGTGGTCCCTTGTGAGTCATCCTCAAACTTTGCCACTTGAGTGTTCTTTGAGGATTACTTTTTCACATTGTGACTTTTTTCTTACTTCTACTCCTTCGTCTTTTTCTTTCTCAGTACCCCTTTTCTTTTTCTTTCCCATTTCCCTCTTGTTTTTCCTTCTTCTTTCTCACTCTCCCTCCCTACCTCTCCCCTCCTCCTATTCTTCTTCTTTTCCTCCTCGTCTTCAAGTATTTTTCCCGGGTTGGCTGGCCGACCTTCTGGTCTGGTCTGGTCTGGTCTGGTCTGGTCTGGTCTAGCTAGCCAAAATTAACAATATAGTCGTCTTGACTTTGTTCGATCTGGCCTAATCTGACACACTAGTCTAACGTGGTCTAGACTGGTCTGGTCTAACCACGATTGGCAAGCGCTTACATTCCCCCCCACCACCCCATCCAGCGCCCCCCCCCCTTCCTTCACGACAGCCCCCAACGGAGTGGAGCCTTTGAGGTGGTGCTCCATAATGACTCTTGCCTTAACGAGGATATTCAGAGCCCAGCAAATGAGGTCGAGTTTAGCCAACCCCCGTAGGCGCTTGGCGGTCATTAGCTATTCAGGACTGAGGCGCCGCTTTCCCCGGAGCCCGCAGTCCACTTAGATGAGGAAGGGAGGAAGGAGGGGGGGGGTAATCATAGACTGCTGTATGGGGTTTGGTGTATGGGAGGAATGGGGGATAGAAAGTTTAACTCTAAAGGAAGTTTTTATGTTGATAATGAGGGAGTATTGGGTTATGGGGGTTTTCAGGCAGGTGATAGGGCAACCCGAGTGGATTTAGCGCTCGTCTGCTGTTTCTAAAGATCCCTGGTTCGTTTCGAGACACTCTTAGTCCACCCAGCTGTGACTGGGTACCAAACTTTACAATATTGAGAAGTGAAAAAGGTTGTTAGAATAGGAAGGACGACTGGTGGTGATTTTGTTTTTTTACGGGTGACGTATATGAGGTGACGTGTATGAAGTGACGTGCATAGGGTGACGTATATGAGGTGACGTATTTGAGATAACGTGTATGGGGTGACGTATATGAGGTGACGTGTATGAAGTGACGTGCATAGGGTGACGTATATGAGGTGACGTATTTGAGATAACGTGTATGGGGTGACGTATATGAGGTGACGTGTATGAAGTGACGTGCATAGGGTGACGTGTATGGGGTGACGTGTTTGAGATAACGTGTATGGGGTGACGTGTATGAGGTGTATTAGAAGAGAGAAAGAGTTAGAGATATATGAAGAATTTGTAATGGCGATTGATATATTTTCATAGTAGTTATTTGTATTGGTATTAATGGGGTTGTGATGCAGGTATTATGGGGGTGAGGTTCATGGGTTGTTCTCTAAGATAGTTCATGGGTTGTTCTCTAAAATAGTTCATGGGTTGTTCTCAAAAATAGTTCATGGGTTGTTCTCTAAAATAGTTCATGGGTTGTTCTCTAAAATAGTTCATGGGTTGCTCTCTAAGATAGTTCATGGGTTGCTCTCTAAGATAGTTCATGGGTTGTTCTCTAAGATAGTTCATGGGTTGTTCTCTAAGATAGTTCATGGGTGGTTAGATGGCGTGAAACGTGACCAGATTTGGGGGGAGTGTGTTTCATGGGGGGAAATATATGGGCGTCTATTTCATGGGTTCGTATGGGGGAGTTTGTTTCATGGGGTATATCTGAGAGTGTGTTGAAACCTTGTGTATTATAAATGGGTTAAAGAAGATGTGTTACTGTATGTATATTAGGATCATGGGTGCGCCTTGAATAGGGGTGTTGTGCATGGGTAAATATAGCTTATTGTATTGTGTATAAAGGAGTTTTTTTTAGCTTTTTGGTATGTGATGGTGATTGTTGTGTGGTGGTGGTGGTGGAATGGTGTAGTGTGGTGTTATTCCGTGTAAGTATGGCAGTGACTGAATGGGGTGAGAGAGTATACGAGTACATACATACATACATACATACATACATACATACATACATACATACATACACCCTTCACGCACATACATACATACATACATACATACATACATACATACATACATACATACATACACCTTACCAAAAACACTTCATATTAGCACATAGTTGAAATACATACATGCATAATATACAACTATATACAATATATGTAATTACTCTATAGTGTAGTGTCTCTCTCTCTCTCTCTCTCTCTCTCTCTCTCTCTCTCTCTCTCTCTCTCTCTCTCTCTCTCGATCAAATTAATCAGGTAAAGTCCACATCACTTTAATTAAATCGCTAACAAACAGATTATTGTTCACTGAATAAATTTACGTAACTAATAGTCCGGAAGTGTATGATGACAGGTGGTGAGTATGATGACATGTGATGAGTATGATGACATGTGATGAGTATGATGATGGGTGATGAGTATAATAACAGTTGATGAGTATGATGACAGTTGATGAATACAAAACAACATTTATTTGAGCCTATGACGTGATTTATTTGTCTCTTATACATCAGTGAGTTGATCTAAATACTGTATTATATTTTATTACACTCTTGGGCTCCCTGGATACAGTACTCGCAGGCTGGGAGTTCATTTTTGTCTCGTCATTCTTGTCTCGCTATTTTTTGTTTGTCCAATTTTGCCACACCACCCTTGCTTCACCACCATCACCTCACCACCCTCGCCTCACCACCCTCATTTCACCATCCTTGCTTCACCATCCTTGCCTCACCACCCTTGCTTCACCATCCTTGCCTCACCACCCTCGCCTCACCACCCTCATCTCACCATCCTTGCTTCACCATCCTTGCCTCACCACCCTCATCTCACCATCCTTGCTTCACCACCCTCACCTCACCATCCTTGCTTCACCATCCTTGCCTCACCACCCTCTCCTTTACCCTGAGTCACATTGCTTGGTCGAGAACCCAATGCTACACATATCACCAGTTGTAAATCCAGTTAGTCTTGATGTTGTGATGTGATGTCTTGGTGATGTTATCGTGATGTTATGATGTCTTGGTGATGTTAATCGTGATATTGTGATGTTTTTGTGATGTTTCTGCGTGGCAACAACTGAGCACTAGTGAAGTTGTATAAATGGTCATTGCATTATTTAAACAACAATATTGTTATCTTAGAATCTCTCTCTCTCTCTCTCTCTCTCTCTCTCTCTCTCTCTCTCTCTCTCTCTCTCTCTCTCTCTCTCTCTCTCTTTCTCTTTCAAGATTAATTAAAAATCTCCGTAAATTAATCTCAACAAAGGACCAGTGAGGTAAAACTCTCCCTTAGTTTGGCTAAGTTTTAGAGGGAGTTATTCTCTTTTATATTCTGACGGGGTGAACCATCGCTGGGACTACGTCATTAGGCTAATTAAGCCCCGGTCGTTAACACACTAATTACTCCAGGCTGTCATTAACAATCTAACTGCCTCACACAGATTTGAACACAGAAGAATCAACTTTCTGAGTGTGTGTGTGTGTGTGTGTGTGTGTGTGTGTGTGTCTCTACTTGCTCGCCGTGTACTTATAATGTAACCTCCACATTCTGGCCTCATACTCGCCACTTGCTCGCCACTTGTTCGCCACGTACTTAAAACTTAATCGCCGCGCACTGGCCTCCTCCTCCTCCTCCTCGCCACTTGCTGTATTCTCCGGAAATGGTTATATACTGTACTTGCCTTTTTCTTTGGTGGAGATGAAGGTACTTATCAGCCATCTTGATTACAGAATATTTATTACCTAGTTAACTGGAGTTTGTTGACAGTGGCGCTTTTACACGTTGCCTTGTATTGATGTTGGTTTTACCTTACCTCTCTCTCTCTCTCTCTCTCTCTCTAGATAATACACTTATAATCCCTTATTTTCTTCCTGTATACTTTCATGTATACTTTCCCCGTATACCTTCCATGTATGTTTATCCTTCTAGTATACTTGTATATTTCTGTATTGTTGATCTAGTCACTATTGTCATCATCATTATCATTACCGTACTATGATCACCTACTACACTACAACTACCACCACTACAACCACCCACTACTACTACCACCGCCACCACTCACTACCATCACCACCAGCCACTACGCCCTTGACGCCTCTCCTCCACCCCGCCACAGGTGCACGCAGATTAAGACATACTCGTGGGACAACGCCCAGGTGATCCTCGTGGGTAACAAGTGCGACATGGAGGACGAGCGAGTCATCTCGTACGAGCGAGGCAAGCAGCTCGCCGACCAGCTGGGCCTCGAGTTCTACGAAACCTCCGCCAAGGAGAACATCAACGTGAAGGTGAGTCGAGGACGAGTGATGGAGGGATAGTGTGAGGGAAGGAGGGAGTGGCGGATAGTGTGAGGGAAGGAGGGAGTGATAGTGTGAGGGAAGGAGGGAGTGAGGGATAGTGTGAGGGAAGGAGGGAGTGGGGGATAGTGTGAGGGAAGGAAGGCGTGAGGGATAATGTGAGGGAAGGAGGGAGTGATGTGTGAGAGAAGGAGGGAGTGAGGTTGTGAGAGGGAAAGGGGGAGTGAGGGATTGTGTGAGGAAGGAGGGGAGTGAGGGATGGTGTGAGGGAAGGAGGTGAGGGATGAGTGTGAGGGAAGGGAGGATGAGTGGAGGGAAGGAGGTGAGGGATGAGTGTGAGAGGGAAGAGGAGTGTGGGGAGTGGGGATGGTGTGAGGAAGGAGGGAGTGGGGGATAGTGTGAGGGGAGGAGGAGTGGGGATGGTGTGAGGGAAGGGAGGGAGTGAGGGGATAGTGTGAGTGGGGGATAGTGTGAGGGGAAGGAGGGGATAGTGTGTGAGGGAGTGGGGGAGTGTGAGGGAAGGAGGGAGTGAGGGGGATGGGGAGGGAAGGAGGGTGAGGGATAGTGTTGAGAGAGGATGGTGTAGTGAGGGATAGTGTGAGGGAAGGAGGGAGGAGGGATAGTGTGGGGAATGAGTGTGAGGGAAGGAGGGTGAGTGATAGTGTGAGGGGAAGGAGGAGGATAGGTGTGAGGGAAGAGGAGTGAGGGATAGTGTGGGGGAAGGGAGGGTGAGGGTGAGTGAGGGGGAAAGGGTGAGGGGATGGTGTGAGGGAGGTGAGGAGGGAAGGAGGGAGGGATAAGTGTGTGAAGGGAGAGATAGTGAGAATGATGAAATGATGGAGGGGTGGTGTAAAGGAGGGAGGGGGAGATGGAGGAGAGGATAGGGGGGTTTAGCTGAGGTATGAGGGAGGGAAGGAATGGAAGGCGGGGTTGTGAGGGAGGAAAGAAGAGGTAGGGAGATTGTGTGTTGCTGGGAGTACATTACTTGTGTGTTTCAGGCTGTGTTCGAGAGGTTGGTGGACATCATCTGCGACAAGATGTCTGAGAGTCTGGACACGGACCCAAACCTGGTGAACGCCAACAAGGGCACGCGACTCACGGAGAACCCCCAGCCACAGAACGGCTCCTGCCAATGCTAACATTCTGGGAGACGCTAAGACTCCCTCACCTCCCCGCCACCACTACACATCTATCCTCCTGTTCGCGCCTAAATATACACTTACCAGCCATTAGCCACGCCCACAGATAGACCCAGACCACGCCCGCAACCCGACCAAGTATGAGCCGCCGATGGCTCTTCCAGCGAGACTGATGATGATGACCTTCTGGGACCTTCTCAGTGCTGCTGCTGCTGTTACTGCTGTCTCTCAAGATGTGCAGCAGGACCTGGAAATAGAGAAATAACACAATTTAGATCAGTTTTTGTTCCGCTGTAAAATGAAAACTGGCGACATTTTCCAGAGGTACGAACAAGGATTAGCACAATAATAACGAAAAATGTTCAGGTTATTTGTGCTCGGCCTGGTTGAGTGTTAATAACAGATTAAAAATTGATCTTTTCTCGAGTTATCTCTCATACACAGTATAAATGCTGTAAATATCCTGAAGACATTTATTTATATTTTTTGTCTCCCGGTGTCCCAGATATAGCAATTTAATGGGACACGAGTCAGCGTTTAACGTGGAAAATGAGAATCATCTTTTTGGACGGCACATGGAGTATGTTTACCCAGTGTGTTGACATGTCCAGTCAACTGGGCATTTTGTCGTGAACATGGAAGAGAGTAGATACTTGATTACTAATTGATAGTGTCTTCGTTGGTGTAGATTATCTACCATTTGGGACACCTACTAGGTAGATTGTCTGCTAGGTGGATTTTTGACCAGTTAGAATATCAACCGATTAGATTCTTGACCAGTTGTGACTTAGGGTTTAGCTGCAAAACAAAAACAAAAAATATGGCCACGTTTGTACTGCTTCGAACACATATTTTTTCGAAATGTCACCAAGTTATTGCAGTAAATTGTGAACTGGGAGACGTGAATGTGTTCCACTCATCCTTTTAACAGTTTGACTCAAAATATCTCCAGTTACTGAGTGTACAGTCTATAGCGAGAAACATAGATTGCCTCAAGAACTTTTATCTCAATCCTCCAGTTTCTAAACTTTCATTTTTTACTTGATAATACTGTACTGTATCACACATTAGTTTCTTCACTTCACTGTTACATTATTGCAGTGTGATCGTAACTCTTCCTTTCCTTAATTTCTTTCTCTATAGACGTTTAATGAAGATAGACTTAGTAGATAGAAGTATAAGACGTATACACACATGAAATATTAAACACAGTGGGTGTATGAGTTACTTAACAATTATACTGTAATGGCTGAACTTTCCATAATGACCAATAAAGGGCCTTGAAAAATATTTGTGGATTTAGAGAACTTAGGGACATATCAGTAAGTCATTAACTATTAACAGGAGTTTTAATCTAATGAGAGAGAAAATATGTAAAGAATTATCCGTTTGAGATGAAAATTCAAGTGTAAATAGTTTCTGTCATTTTCTTTTGTCCGATTCTGGCATAATAACATTATGGAGGAATCTTTACTGAGCCCTTTTGGACAATAGGGCTTCCAACGGGAAAAAAAAACATTTTTTTTTAAACACTTAATATGTCCATTTAAATAACTCCTAATTTCCTTGAGACCGTCATAAGTAAAGAGTTTCTATGATAAAAAAATGGCTATATTATATGCCTGAAATAGTTCATATCTGCCTGTTCCGAACTCAGCACTCTGTAAGCGCTTTCCATGAGTTAGGTCGAGTAGTGGAGTGTTTTACCCCATATATGTGTGCTGAGGGTGTCACCTGAACCCACCACAGGGATCCGACGAGCACTCATATCTGAGAGATGCGGAGCTTATATATATATTTGCTACTGTGATGAAAAAAGATTACAAACTTTATAAATAAGAGTGATAGGCTACTGTTTGATGCTTCACTGACACCAAGATTGAAAACTTAGTTGTATTTTGATATACTATATTCATAAAGCACTGAACTCAAATGAATGTCTTTCATTTGAACAGTGAATTAAGAAGGCTTATTTCAATGACATAACTGGATTAGAAACTCTAAAAGACATGTATTGTAAATATGGTAACACTATAGATTACATTTGCCTTAGATAATCAACAATATGGGTTAACACTCTATCTACCCGATGTAACTACAGAATTTAGGCATGTGCTGTTTGTAGTGTAAGACCGGTATATGTACCAATAACTCAAACTGCCATATTATTGGAATGATCTCACACTAGTATCTTATTCGCTCAATGTTTTCTGGAGACTATTATTTCCTATGTTCTGGAAAAAAAAATAATGTTCATTTAAAAACCATTTGCACTGTTGTTGTCTACACCCTTTTACAAATGATTATCAAAGGATAAGTTTTCCCATTGTATGATTATTATAGAGCTATGACTATACGTGTGAGGTGGACCATATTTTCATGCTTGTGGAGAGCCAAGTAGGCACAGTCTAAGTTAAAGTGGACCACTCAACACCTCCCCACTTTTTAACCATAACTCAAAAGAATATTTATTTCCCACTCGGACATGACTGGCCAGATGTCTTAGTCAGTCAGCCAGGTGTCTGAGTCAGTCAACTTCACCTTCAGCCTACCCAGGGAACACTGAGCATAAAATACGGCCGTTTACTCGAGATGGTTCCCACAATAGGGCTGTGAAACTCTCCGTTGCGTCAAAGACAAAACTACTATTACTACACATGTGTCGCGCCTTAGTTCAGTACTGTGTCATTGGACTTATGTTGTAATTTTGTGATAATGGAATTTTTCTCCAGATGAATCCTTTCCATAGTGTCAATGTCAGTGATTGTGGGCTCTTGTGTTGGGTCGCAGTAAGTTTCCATGTTCCTTTCTCGTCAAAAAAAGGACTTGGCCTTATTTACAGAATGACGGCTCAAAATCTATGGTTGAGACTCACAGTATGGAGCCTCAAGTGTGATGTGATGCCATTGCTTGTGAATTACGCTTCTCAGAGCTCATAAAGCTAATTAAATTGCCAGGAGAAGAGATCTGGGTAGTTGGGTCTCGGCTACTATCCTGATGAGGAACTGGGCTTCTCTCAGTTGACCAAGAGTCTCAACCTGTGGTGAAGAATGACCTAAGCTTCTTCGTGGATAACATGAAGACACAATTTAAATATGATTAAAACTTGGCCTAACTCACAAGCAATGTGTACATGAGAAATGTCTGTGTGTGTTGTATTCTTCTCTATCCCGAGTGTTGACTCCACCCAAAGATCAAGTTGAATTAAACATCTCATAGATTTATAATATGCATCTTGTATATATGTAAACAATCAGAATCCATTACACGTTTTGCTACATTATATATTTTGAACTCTTTGTGTATCTTTCAGTCCATTAATCAGGCCAAAACAAATTGTGTTCATTGCTCTCTCTCTCTCTCTCTCTCTCTCTCTCTCTCTCTCTCTCTCTCTCTCTCTCTCTCTCTCTCTCTCTCTCTCTCTCTCTCTCTCTCTCTCTCTCTCTCTCTCTCATCAACTTGCCTTAGGATGGAGCCCCGTCCTCTGTCTTTGTACCTGTGGTGTGACAAGTGGTGATGGATGCTACTTGCTCCTGTTGTAAGGTTCATTCTCCGGAGTCACGACACAAATGTAAAAGCATTGTACTATGTTAGTCAGGTTGTGAATGGTTAGTGTGATTTTCTTACAGCTGTATTCGCAACAAAAGGGGACCCTAGGTTAGTTACCCCAGCTCCAGGGATGAGAGGAGCAATATGATTCTTGCAATCTTCTCTCCCCTTACGATTGGGGTTCGGTGTGCAGTAATTATCGTGCTGTGCTTGTTGTGAATACTACTGTTACACAGGAAGCCGTTCTGTGTTGGGTTATATCAACCAATGAGAATGCTGACCTACTGTATTTTAGACACATATAAAAGCTCTCTTCTCATTGAAGTATATAAACCAATTATCAACTGCTGCCTGTACATGTAAACAAAGCAAATTGCATTTCCTACGTCAACCTCACCTAAGACTTGAGTGGAAGAGAGTTAAACCATCAGTTTTAGGAAACTTTTATAATGTTCAGCTTTCATGAAACTGGTTGTTTCACTCTACAATAGGACACATTTCCCAACACCCCGCCTCGTGTGACCTGGCCTCATAGCACTGTTTCGTCTTTTAAACATTAGTTTCGTATTTTTGACTACTGTACATTGTGTCACGTTTTTTACAACTATGTACCGGGCGCTCATCAGGGAGTAGCATCTGTTCATGCAGAGTTACGGGTAGTGAAAATGTGTAAGTCTAATAACAGGATAATAACAATAGGCGTCTGGCCATTGTTTACTAATAGAGCCCAGACTTTCTAACGTCCACCTAGACAACTATTACCTTGATCAGAATTATAGAACATTATTAATGAAAAGAAAGGGCAACCAAATAGAGAACTCTTGGTCATATTCACTGGTCAGGATAAAAAACTAATTAAATAGTTTATGAAAAGATAAACACTACCGGTCAGAGAGAGAGAGAAAATGTGAAATTTAATCGTTTCAAAAATATTGAATATATTGTGTTGACAAGAGGCTCAACAGTGTGGTGCGTGTCCAGGTACAAGGAAGGCGGAGTGTGGTGAGCGTGTGCGTTGTTCGGTCGGGTGTGACGTAGAGAGGACACGCCAGTAGGTGTAGGCGGCGACCTGTTGTTGTTAGTTCTTGTGAAAACACGACAAAAAAAATCATCGCAGTTTTAAACAAGGCAGGCTTCATCATCAATAAAGAATTATGTTGCGAAAACTTGTTTTTTTTCTTTTTCCTTGTGAAGTGAAAACATTCTTGAAAACTTCCCCCACGAAACCTTGTTAATGGCCTTCGAGTCATCCAGTGACCTCTTAGAATCACACTAAAACAACCCCTGGGAGATCCCGTCTGTTACCAGAGGGCCCTGACATATTGAAAAGTAGGATTCACTTCCAGCCAGAAAAGGTAAGATATCATTTTAACAACAAGCAGCACTATCTCGATCAGTTGAACCAGGGTCGGAGATCAAATCCCACTTGGTATACTCTGTGGCTGCCTCAACTAGGCTTCGGGAGGAGTGGTCGACACCCACAGAAGCTTCATGTGATTCGAACTTTCTATCAAGACAATAAGTTCTTGTCCTCACAGTTCCTGCCAGGTCACCAGGCACTAAACCAACGAGAGTTCCTCCTGGGTTTAGGTTTACCATTTTCATCACGTGGATCCGCTCGGTAAGATACGTGTTACTTTACTGTATCATGTTTACCAATTATTGTTATCTGTTTGGTGTGTGTGTCACTGTTTGTTAAGAAGACAGTGTTTCGTAAAACGAGATGAGGGTGATTCAGGTAGGTAGTTGTCAGCTGTCCTTTTAATAGCCACTGTCCAGGAGTTAATTGATATGCTTGGCGTACTACTATTATAGCCTATTATAGTACTTCCTTCCTTAAGTGAAACAAACTTTAGTTACAGTTCCAGCAAAAACCGGGTTGTTAGTTCATAAAGATATGTTGAGAGCGATTTCAAGCTCACGCTTTTATCTTTTTTCTCAAAACGAACAATTGGTAAACTTTAAAATAGTACAACATCACTAGTGATTTATTGTTTCCTTCCGAATCTTCGCTCTCGAGGTTTTTATATCGTGAAAATAAGTCTTGTTGGGTAAAAGCCACTGTGTTTACTTAAAAGTCAACTCGAGATGGGAAAAAAAAAGATTGTTTTACTTGATCCACAAAGGTTTAAATTTTAATACTAATAACGTTTTTTTAGACAAAATTAACATTTCTCAAAGATAGAGGTGGAAGTGACGGTACCTTAGGAAAAGATTACTACCGTATACACAAACTTTTATAATTTTAAGAAACATTCATTAGATAATTTGGTATCAGTGTATTCTACGATTGTCACCTTATGGATGATCTTGGTGATTTTCATTAAACCTTCTGTATTAAAACAAAGACTGGGTTTCCGGTAGCAGAGCAAGGAAAAACTTTATATTTCTTTAAGAAACACCAAATGGGCATTGACGTTATTATGTTATCACTGAGCTTCAACAACTAAAGTCTTTAAGTGCGTAACAAGGTTAGTACATTACACCAGTCCATCAACAAATATAAATTATGAAAAATGTGTGTGCCGTGAGCCTCATACCACGACTTAACTAGCTAAGGTATTTAACACTTCATGTAAAAGAATAAAAGCTGTTTGTTACCATCCCAATATTACCATACCATAGTCGTGGCCCACAAGTAGTGTTGGAAACGACCCACACACTTCACAGGTTAGTAAGGGGGTCGTGGTGGGTTAGGTTAGGTTAGGTTATATTCTTATATTTTAATTTACTGGTATATATGTAAATATGTTTTTTTTTATACATTGTTTACAGCGTATGATGGGAAAATAAACCAAGGGCATGACTTTGATGCAGTGATGATCAACTCAACACTGATGTAAACTGAACGTGAAAGAAGACATCGGTTTATGAGCTGACCCAAGACACCATCTGCTGTAACACTAGACAACACCTTCCTATAAACTCAGATATTCGTAATAAAAGAACAAGAATGAAATGAAAATAATGTCTGATAAAATACCTGCCATGTACTGTACACTAATATATGAGATCCTTGATGAAGCTGCATAGTTTAGTAGCATTTGTATCACTATAGAGGGATTTATAATACACAGCTGTACTGTATTAAGCTGATAAAAATAAATGTTAGGAAGGTGTTTTAATATCCATAACTAAAGATGAATGTGACCGTTTAATGAAGCATAATTTATAAAGAAAATTCGTTAAAAACAATCACAATAATGTGAATGCTCAAGGTAACTCCCACATTATTTTTTAATGAGAATACACTTTCATTCACTTATCACTGACAATGAAACTTTTTGTTTTTGTTTTATAATGCAGACTTTTATTGCTGAACGTATATCAGAGGTATGAGAGAAAAATAAACAAATGAGGCCAAATATAATGGGGAAGCCAGAGGTGTATCTTAGGGTAACACACACACACACACGAGCGGGTTACCACAAGGCAGTGTATTGGGCCCGTTGTTGTTTGTTTGTTTCATAAATGACATGCCTGACGCTGTACACTCCTCCATACAAATGTTTGCGGATGACGCCATGTTATTTCGGGAACCAAGAACCAAGCGGACTGTGAAGAGCTGCAGAAGGATCCCTGTGTGTTCCAAGAATGGTCGAAGAAATGGCTGCTGAGATTTAATGTCACGAAGTGTAAGAGGATGCACCTGGGGCGTACCAACGGTAAGAAGGCGTATCATATGTCACAACGGGATGAAGAAACTGCACTATTTGAGACTGAATGTGAGAAGGACCTAGGTGTGCACGTTGACAATGAGCTGAAGTTCTCGGGCCATTGCAAGAAGAAGGTAAATCAGGCAAATAAATTATAGGGTCTTATGAGAAGGTCGTTCAGATATCTAGACGGTCCGTCCCTCGTAACGATCTTCAAGAGTGAAGTGCTTCCCCATCTGGAGTACTGTCACCCTGTCTGGTTCCCAAGATATAGGCCTACTTGGGACTGTCAGTTGATGGAAAATGTTCAGAGGAGGGCCACCAGACTGATGCCTGCACTTCGGCACCTCAACTACCCTGAGAGATTGGAGCGCCTGAACTTGCCTAGCTTATACTACAGACGGGCAAGGAGCGACCTAATTGAGGTGTATATCTCAAGGGGCACCACTCAGTCGAATGTCCTTACCTGCCTTACCTGGAGCTGGCGGACGCTCGCCCAACAAGGGGTCACAGCTCAAGGTTGAAGAAGCCGCATGTCCAGGAAACTGTGAGGGCAAACTTTTTCGGAGTGAAAGTTGTGAACTCTTGGGACAATCTACCAGAAAGTGTTGAGACGGCACCGAGTGTGAGCTCTTTCAAGGCCAGATTTGACCAACACTGGAGCAGGTTCAGATACATTCAGGAGCCGGTGCCTGCCCAGTACTTGCCAACAGTGCATAACAGAGACGTGACCGATCGCCCAAGCGGCTAACGAGCCGATCAGTGGTGAAGAGGATAAAAGTACGTAAAAGTAAAAAAGTAAAAGTAAAGCACTTAGATATACAAACCGAGATCTTATATTTACACCGTTTGCAATTGCTGTTTTTTATTAAGTATTGATTTATCAATATATTTAGCCATTAAGTTTTAAATTAAATTAATAGATGTTAAAAAAATACTACGAATAAGGCTGCAGTTTTTTTTCTCTGGTCGAATATCAGTAAAGCTTAGCTTGAAATAATTTAAACTACTATATTATTAATAATTTGGATATGCTTAGGTCATGTTATATGAATGAAAGAAGTAAATGATATAAAGGTCTTGTTCGTGGTATTTCCTAACATGGCCAATGTTATTGTTGTCATTGTCACTAGTATTACCGTAGAGTCTTGAGACGTGAGGGTAGTTGCTGCACCTTATCGTTGGAACACTATAATAGCAGAGTGTTTTATCAGCGTCTGTGGTTATCATAAGAAGGGTAAATGTTTACGAAACTGTTATCATTAGAAGTTGTTTGTTGATTTTCTTTATATTTGCTATACTTATGGTTTTGATCATTGTAAGTATATTAACAGAAACGACAACTTTCTATTATAATTTTACCATAAGAAGTAAACCATCTTGTAACTATCCTTATTTAAAACAAAGTGAAAATATAATCCATAAAGTATGAAGATGTATAACGCCTCGTCCACCCAAGAAACATTTCCTCATACTGTGCATCTCAAGCCTGTAATTATTCATGTAGTGGCGATCCTCGATTTCAATACATAATTCACATGCACCAATTTCTAGTCATTAGTGATCTTGGTAAATATTCGGTATTGACTTTATCCCCTACGCTACTAATGGCCTGTTAGCCGCTTGGGCGGTCTGTTATGTTTCTGTTGCACGATGTTGGCAAGTACTGTTGTGGGCATGTACTGGTTCTAGAATGTATGTGTACCTGTGCCAGTGTTGGTCAAGTCTGGTCTTGAATGAACTCACACTTGGTGTCCTCATAACACTGGTAGATTGTCCCAGGATTTCACAACTCGTACTCTGAAAAAGATTTTCATTACAGTACTATTTTTTTTTAACTTGTGACTTTTTCAACCTTAAGCTGTGACCTCGAGTGGAGCGGGCATCCAGATATGGACACTCGACTGAGTAATGTCCTCTGAGGTGTTTATAAACGTCTATTAAGTCACCCCTTGCACGCCTATAGTATAAGGTAGGCAACTGCAAGGTTCTAACTTCTCCAGGTAACTGAGGTGTCGTCTTTAGCAAATTTCGAGGACCAGACGGGGTGACAGTCTTCCAAGCAGGGAAGCACCTTACTATTGAAGAGTGTTATGAGGGACTGACCATCTAGGTATATGGATGATCACACAAAGTGGGCAGGGCTTTGAAGTAGAGGGAAAAAAATGGTGTTAAAAACACGCAAAAGCTGATGAAACCGAAACCAAACCAAATACAGTGGTTAATAAGGACCAGAAAAAAGCCACTTATAATGAAACCACTTGAAAAGGGAATTAATTCCTGTAAGAATTAATGGAAATTTTATATACTGTATTTTAATATTATTTACATATACCTTTGAAACATTGGTTAATCATTTGATTACTCATTATTTTATTAAATTATTTAACTTTTTAACTTATCTAAGGTACTTAAAGTTGTTTGGGGTCAGTGTGTTGATGTGGCACAAGCTACCTAACCACACACTCTCCTTTCTCTTACGGCATGTAACTTTTAATTTCACGTTTATCCTATATTTACTATGCTACCTTTTAGCCACTACACCACCTGGTTTTGATTTGGAACTGAAGGCTACAAAAATAGTCCACCAATGTCACCACCAGAAGGGGGTCACAGCTCAAGATTGAAGAAGCTGCAGGTCCAGAAAACTGTGAGGGGTAACTTTTTCAGAGTGAGAGTTGTGATCTCTTGGAACAATTTGCCAGAGAGTGTTGTGATGGCACTGACTGTGAACTCTTTCACGACCAGACTTGACCAGCACTGGAGCAGGTTCAGATACATTCAGGAGCCAGTGCATGCCCAGTACTTGCCAACAGTGCGTAACAGAGACGTGACTGATTGCCCAAGCGGCTAATGAGCCGATCAGTGGTGAAGAGGATAAAAGTAAAAGTAAAGAAACAACAAAGTTGATAAATATAGTTCTTGGAGTACAGTACTTCAAAATAATGCCTGTGAGTACTGACCATATTTAGCGTGGGTGAGTATGGGAGGTGGGCGGGAATTTCAATTACTCAAACGCTTGTGCTTTTTACATGTAGTTCCAAAATTATTTGACCACTTAAGTGCGAAACCTTTTATAATAAAGAAAATTATAACGAGGACCCCCTGTATATGTTTTTTTTCTCTCTCTATCTTCCTATACAGTATACAAATCAATATAGGGTTCTGTGCTTGGTCAGTACCGAATATTAAGCAAAATAATTTTAAGAGAGAACTTACTTTTGAACTCAAGAATAGTACAAATTAGGTGGAGGAATAACACTTTGTATTCTCTTTATTGCTCTAATCTTTCTGCTGTTTTTGCTTTATATTATAATTTACCATAGATACGATGAACCAACAAAACCTACCTAACCTACCTGTCCTAGGATGGAAGTGTATTAGTATTAGTTACTACAGGCAGCTTCTGATTTATGAAGCTTTAGTTTATGAAAGTTCACTCTGACATCTATAATATTTTCTTTACAGGGAGAATTACACAGAAGATTGAAATTACTGCAAAATAACGTTTTTTTTAGTAGAAACTTGTGATATCAACTCAGCAGAAATGCCTACAGCAGGGGCTATGACTCTAATGTTCATTGGGGTCATTCTCTTTGCTATAATACTATTTGTCACATGCTTCAAGAGGCAGGTTGGTCGCATGAAGGATCGCTCAAGGAGAGATCCCCACATACCTGGCTCTGAGGCGAAGAAGGTTAGTAAAATACTGTACTTGATGATATTAGTTATAATAATTGTTCCATTTGAGAAATGTCTTGAGGAAAATATTTAAAAAACTTACACAGCATACTGTTCCATCTGTGAGGTGCAGTGACATCATTTCTAATCCTACATGCATGAACTGGATGAGGCAGTAACCTTGTGATGTTTCCATGTAATACATTTTGAAGGCCAGAAAGAATAAGTTTGCTTGATTTAACCATCACTAAAACTGAAGGGATGTGGATTTCATACTTCAATCCTTCATTACTTTTTCTTTCTTGTTTTTCTTTTTTAATAAGTCCATGTTTGCTTTGTTACTATTCCCAGGCGTTGAGGCGAGAGATTGAGCGGAGACTGGATCGGGTGGCAGAAATTTACTACGAGCCAAAACTGCTCACACTAGAAATTGACAATAGAGCAAATTCCGACCTTCCTCCCTATTACTTCCGAATGAAAGCTGTTGATAATATGAAGTATTTAGGTAAGTTTAGTCTATGGTCATAACCATGACTTATTCCATGTCATATGTGAACACTGAGTATGAGCCTTGTAAATATACAGGCAGTCCTTGCTATAAGAAAGCAGTATGTTCTGCAGAAGTTGTGTATAAAAGAAAAATTCCTACATATATGTAACAAAATTAAATTTTCTGTAATGTTTAAGATGGAGGATGCTTTCCTGAGAGGGAATTTTCAGAGGCCTTACTCAACCCAAACAAACCAAGCTAAATACAAAAGACATGATAATTCAGTAAATCAGTACAGAACATCTCTAAATTAATGTAATTGACAGATTCCTGGAGTCTTCTCTTCACAGTCTTTTTTTTTTACAGCTCATCAATGTCTCTTGTACTATCTGTAATGCCATTTATGTGATATAATTACATCTTAATTTCAACTTTGTCCATATTCAACCACAGTATAAAACTCTGGTACAGTATTGTACAATAAAATAATGCCATAAATCTTTGATTTTTATATTCATACATGCATTTTCCAGAACAAGAGCTGTCATCACTGGAAGGAGTTGGAGTTCGTGGATCCAGAGAGAGCATAAGAGCATTCCTGATGAACCTCACCAACCCTGGGAGTGTCTTAGCTGTGGTGGAGCCTCGTATCATTCACGAACTCTGTGACTATTATGATCACGCAAGATATCATCCCATGCAATTTACTGTAGCACAGTTTACTCCATACCATAGTTTGCTACTGCGGATTTTGCACTGGTAAGCTTTAAACATCTTATAGAAGGTAAAAGTAAAGTTACTCATATAAAATGGAAATCAGATCTTTCTGTTGTGATTTTTACACTGATTATATTTACAAGCTGGATATACAAAGAAAATATATTTTAAGTTGTTGAGTTGTAGAGATATTTCCTTGCTATTGAACACAGAGTAAAGAACAGAGATGAATACTTGGAAGAAGATATGATCGAGGTGTATAAATGGAAGTCAGGGCTAACAAAGGTGATATAACAAGGTACTCAAACTATCCAACCAGGAGCGAACTCGTAGCAATGGTTGTAAATTAGACAACTTTAGATTTAGGTGCGTGATAGGTAAACATTGGTTTGGAAATAGAGTAGTGGATGAGTGGAACAAGTTACCAAGCATCATCATTAACTTGAATGCACTGGATAGCTTCAAACGTAGGTTGGATGGATATATGAGCGATAGGGGTTGGGTGTGAACTGGATTGCCCAGTATGGGTCAATAGCCCCGCTGCAGTTTCCTCCATTCTTATGTTCTTACTGTATGTTCTGTTTTCAATTTCCAGTGGCCGTAATGGTGAAAAATTTTCAGGCCGTGTTATGTCTACTGTCAAAGCACCCAGTGATCATGATTCTGCCATCGATGAACCTGAACATGACCATAGTGGGGATGATGAAAACTTAATCATCACGGATTCCAACATGGTCTTGCTCCACAGGCCATCGTCACTCAGAGTGTCCCCAGAGGATAATTTTGAAACTTCTGTGTGAGAACAACTTGTACTGGTTTCCTGCACACTTTTTAAATTAGTTTATACAGGTGCTACTAAGTTCTGTACATGAAAGTTCGTGAAGAAGACATCAAAGCAGAAAAGAGGTAAATGAGGAGCAGAGCACACTGGGCCCCAAAGAATTTTTTTTAAAGACATTACAGCTAGTCAGAGAGCAAAGATGGAAGTGGCAGCTGTGAAATTTTAAGCATGCGGGTATTTATTTAATGAGTATGTGTGCTTCTATGACGCTTGTTATTATGTACCAAACACTGCCAAATTCATTGGAAATGCTAATGGTGTGGCAGTAGGTTCTTCACGGTGTAAAAATAAGTCTTTATCATGAATTATTTTATTTAGATTCATAGTTTGTGATATAAAATTACTGATACTGTACTGTACAGTCAAACACAATAATTGGGGGACAGAGAAAGAATCGAAGTCTGGCCAGTGAGGAGCAGGGTGCCTGAATAAATCTCAACCCCTCCAAACCCCCTCCCCCCATTAATCACTATACTACAAGTATTTCCGCGCTAACCTGGCCCGTAAGCCACGTCCCTCGTCTATAGCTACAAATAATTGATTGGTTCATAGAAAATGTTCGTGTAGCTGTCCATTTATTCAAACTAAATGTGTTCACAATTTGTAAGCAGACCGGTTATTATCTAAAATAATGTTAAATCTCTGGAATATCAAAATGGAAATGATTTCAAGGCCTTAGCGCTTCAGAGAGGATGTTAGGAAATTTTAAATATCATAAAAGGTCGAAGTCAAAGATGAAATTTGCTTTCGAATGAAGCCTTTTCATTAATTCTTGGTTTTGTACCAAACATAGAGTAAACAAAAATAAGTGCCACCAAACATATAGCACAATAGGTAATGAACTACCCCTGTACAGTTTGTATGTCTGGATATATCCCAAATCATTTATATACAGTAAACCCTTGCGATTTGCGGGTTTGCAATTCGCGATTTTGATGATGGTGGCTATGGTGAATAGCTTGTGAGCCTCTCCTGCAGCACAACGAGTCACTCCACGCGCCCCCAGCATCTCCTCTCCCTCTATTAGAGCTCAACCATTGCCGGTGATGCAGCATCTCTTGTGTTGTACAGGGTACTCTCAAAACTTTAGTGTTTCTGTGTGAAAATGGCCCCTAAAGGATTGCCTAGTGTCAGTGCTAGTGGAGTGAAACGTAAATGGCAGAAGTCGCTGATGACCCTGACAAAGAAAGATGAATTATTAGACAAGTTAAAGGAGGGGATGAGTGCTACTGCAGCTGGTCAGTTGTTTGGTATGAGAAATCAACCAGGCATTGGTTCCCTACCAGGAAATGTTTAAAGACCTCAAAGCCAAGAGGAAACAACAACCACTCATGATGTTTTTCAAGAAAACCCCCCCCCCCATTCAGTCAGCTGCTGCCGCCACTCCTCCACCCTCCTCCCAGCCACCTCACTACCCACCTCTCGGCCATGCACCTCTTCACCATCTGCCTCTCCACCAACCACCACACTCTTCAACAGTGAACCTGATTTTTTCCCTATGCTTCAGTAACCAGATTTCTCCCTAATGTAACTGATAAAACTAGATTTAAATTCGCGCAATCTACGGGGAAGTAAAATGCTCAGAGGAACAGCCACTGGACTTGGTAGCCACATCGATGGGATGATCATCTGACAGTGATAGATCAGCTGGACACTCGACTCATACTACCAGTACGGTAGAGCTAGCATTAGAATACCTGTACTATGAAAAAAAAAATTAACTATACCTCGTCTATCATTGGCCGATATTTTTTTTCATTTGCACCAAATTTCTTGATACTTACGACAGATGATGAAAATGTTAAACCTCTACATCGCTTCTTAATACTTTGTAGCATATATTATTACTTTATTATTGTCACAATGCAGCATTTAAGATGAGGAGATGCCAAGTTAGTGGATAAAGTATTTAATAATCTGCTCGTGGGTGTGAGAAATATTTTTGTTAGTTAAGTACCTTGGAAATGCAAATTCAACACCCTGACTTACCTTAGGCTACAGTAGCTGAACTAACTTCTTTGGGTAACTATTTATTATATGACCATCATATCATACCATGCGTTTTAAAGTGTAGGCTTACTGGTACTGTAATATGCTATAGCTAATGTAACACTACAGGTATAAGGTTAACAAATAAAGAAAATTGAGGAAATTAATTATCAAGTACAGTTAACCCTCACTTTACGCGGTCCCGCATTCCGCGTTTGCACGTTAACGCGGTGCCTTGCCAGAACCTCACGTGCTCACATTACGCGGTACGTGGACCCCATTACGCGGAGAGTGTCCGGCGCGACGCTATTTTTAGATTCGCCCCACCCGCCCGCCTGCCTGCCTGCCTCTCCCTCCTCCTCCCTCCGCTTGGGCAAGCGGCGCAGTAAGGTTGCGCAGTGTGTGTCTTTGTTGCGTTATCACTGACGTCATATGACGTATCAGACCTGTGATTGGCCATGCATCCCTACCCCCCTCTGCTGCTAGCTGTAATTGGCTTAAAGTATTATGACGTGTCCACCCGGGGGATGGAGGGAAGGAGGAAAGACGACGCTTGACCTAGCCGTGGCAGTTTCATCCCTCAAGGCCACTCCGTGTAAACGCCAGCCGTCAGCAAAGCATAACAGATTTCTTCGCCCGCAACCCACCACAGCCAGCCCAAGCCAGTGATAGTGGCAGTGAAGATGACTTTGAGGGATTTGTCAGGGAAGCCCTGACAACTGTAAGTGACAGTGATGGTGATTCACCTAGTAATGGTGATTCACCTGAGGGCCAGTAATCTGCCCTCTGCCTCGGAACCAGCCTCCATCCCCGTATGCCGACCCATCTCTTCTACTACCGTAAGTGTTACACCAAATTTTTAGTTTTCTAACCTAACCTTTATTTTTCCTATGTTAACCTTTATCTTTCCTAACCTAACCTCTTCTATATTACTTGTTTTTTCATACCATCATAAAGTTAAGATAAAATTTTTACTGCAACATAGTTGTGTGTCGTCAAAAAGTGGAGTTTGGGGATCGGCCTGGACTCCATTTCAATTAATCCCATATGTTATGTTATTCACTTTACGCGTTTCTCGCTTTCCGCGGTACCCTCCGGGTTACATTAACCACGTAAAGTGAGGGTTAACTGTATATTATTTACATAAGCTGCCATTAATTTATTTGTCACTGTCCGAATCACTACTGTCATCGTCGATGATTATAACAAAACTTGAGAGTTGATGTCTGCTGACTGTTGTGTCGAGATGAGCAAAATTCCCGCCAAGTCCAGTGGCTGTTCCCCTGAGCGTTTTACCTTCCCATGGACTGCACGTATTTATATCGAGTTTTATCAGTTATATAAATGATTTGGAATACAGTATATCCAGCCGTACAAACTGTAGTTCATTACCTATTGTGCTATATGTTTGGTGTCATTTGTTTCCGTTTGCTTTATGTTTGACTTCGACCTTTTATGATAAATATTTAAAGTTTTCTAACATCCTCTCTGAAGTGCTAATGCCTTGAAATCATTTGCATTTTGATATTCCTCTGGAGGCAGTATTCATAACAGGACCACCACCCACTCACATTGCCTTGGCTGAGCCACGAGAGTGGGCAAAGCTTAAGACTTGTTATTTGTTCCAAATACGTAACTTCAGTAGCATTTTAATGGGGTTGGGAGGTGGGGGATTGAGACTTGTATGGGCGCCTGGCTTATCACTGGCCTGACTTCGATGCTTACCCTGTCCTTCGATTATTGTTTTTGACTATACAGTACAGTAACTAAAACAACTATCTGTGCAGGTGGGGGTTGATATTCTCTGAAATTTTACGTGTGACTAGTGACAGCCCTCATACCAAAATTTATCGTCCATGGTCTCATATTGTTTCCCACAAAGTATGCACAGACAGTTGTTTTAGCTACTGTACATATAAGAAAAATTATTTCTGTGGTAAATATCAAAATACTGTATTAAATAATTATGAAGGCAACAATTGTGAAGAGTGTAAACATATTAAAACTGTCATCTATTAAAAAGGTTCAGTAATCAAATGTATATCACTGTTTTTCCTACAACTAACAACTTCCCCTACAATTAATGTTACCCGCTCTGCAATTAATGTTACTTGGTGATCTTTTGGCCCCAAAACACTCTTTTGAATTGGAAATTAACATGTTAAACTACATCAGCACACACAGTACAGTAGTACTGTACTGTACCTACAAGTATACGTATTGAGATTTTGAACACTCAATTTTTTAAATTATGGCAGGAATGAAAAAATGGAATAGTCTTAGAGTGAGAATTACTGAAAAACACATGTGCACCCTTGTGCACATGCATGCATAAGGCTATACGCCTACATACACATGTGACGTCATCTCTAAGACTACACTGTCTTGATATATTGAGCATATAAATAAATTTACAAATAACCAATTTACTTTCATAATACAGAAATGTATTGAAAATACTTTACAAAATATGATATACTGTACAGCGCAGAACATTAAAAGTCTAATGTGATAATTTTAAAGATAAAACTGTCTTTCAGATGTTATATTAAGGTGGCACAAAGTTGGCTTTTGCATTACAAAATAAGGGTTTGTATTCCAAATAAAAATACATAGAACAAAATTAAAACTAATGTGTGGCTTGTGCCTGGATATGAAAGAATGATGAAAGCTCTTTTCTCGAATATATCCTTCTTCCACTTACCCCTACTTTTTATTTTTCACCCAAATTAGACGTAATTACTGTACGTATAACAATCTTACCGGCCACTAAACTCGAATTTGGATGTCATTCAGCCGGTCGCATGTGGCCTGCAAAAGGAGGGCTGAGGATCCCTGCTCTAGACCCTAAGTACATGAGCTGTCCTACTCACCCTGTTAACCCAGTATCATGTAGCAGAAATATCCTAAATGAGAAAGGTTATCTTAGTTTGCAAGATTTCATATGAAGGTGGTGCATGATGAACTGATCACATAACACCAAAAATCCTGATTTATCTTTAAAATATGACAGTTTCCAGTGATGAAATTATCATATAAGAACCTAGCAACCCTGATTTATCCTGGGTTCAAACTCAGGTACAATGGTTTAGTAGTTTCGAAAATATTTTTCACTTTTATGAGACACTCATTCCAGCAAAGTTGCTGCTCAAGGTTAAAAGTTCGCTACTGTTTTCTAATTCACCGAGGGCTTCCTCCATCATCTCCTGTAGTAGTTTCTCCATCAGTTCAAGTTGCACCAGGTCCATGATGCCATCCAGAAAATATCCCAGCTCAGCTCTGACCAACTGCACATCTCTGGGAATAAGAAGATAATTAGAATTCCAAGATGACAGCTAGGCATGAAATTGTTTAAGCTGTTACAAACACAACAATCACACCCTCAGTTAATATCAAAGAATAATCCAGGAAGACCAGATAACTGGCCAACTACACAAGTTAACCATTACCCTAGAACATGACCCATCAATCACTTATCATCCACAATTTCTTCTGGATAGACAGAGGCAAATGGCATAAAGAAATTACCCTACTATTTCATCCTGCCAGATCAAACCCACTGCCACAGTCAGCCAATATTAAACAACCTATTATACGTAAAACTAGTCTGCGGTTAAATCCCCTCTATCTTGACTGGTTAAGTGAGAAAATTCTTGCCAAGTTTATGACCAAATTTTATTCATTGTTGTTTTTTTAGGATTCCATTTAACTGTCAGTTGGGATGTATAACTCCTCTGTTAGGGACTTATTTCTAGTTTAAATCTTACTTAATCAGGGTGTCTTTGTCCTCTGAGAGTTGCGTGACGTAAGTGTTGTTCATGCTACCCACTCGGGATTTTAGACTCTGCCTTGTTTTCTGCAGTATGTTCTTGATAGGGAGTAAGTGACCATATTCTTGCAATGCATGACATAAATCAGTGATGTACCATGATCCTGGAAAGACATAAATCATTGAATAGGAAATATTAATTCATGAAAACATGGAATCATGATATATCTTCATCAGGAGCAAGAATGTGATAAAGAGTGGGTAGCTGTTGAGGTTCACATGATTAATTGCTACCCAATGACAGGGACACTGATGGTATCATATGGTGGAACCTGTTGTCACTGAGAGTGATGAGCCAACCACTAATGGATAATTCTGATCCAACCATTTAAAAGTGATATAGTAACATAATGCTAAAAATAATAATACAGTACTTCAAATGGCATTCATTAAAGTTTTTACAACAATCACAATTATTTTGATAAACCTTCACCAAAAATTTTAACCCCTCCTATACTACAGAACATAACCATATCATTAACAAATATTTGGGTACGGTAAAGCATTCCACAGTATTATTTATAATAGGGAAGGGTTTAATATAAGTTAATAATCTCACTAACCTTCTGTCTCACTTCTCACAGCCGAGTACCCTTTCACAGTTGCAGTGGAGATGAGACAGTCACTCTCCATATGGCTCACAGTGCAACCATCTTGTTGTAAAAGTATTGCTGTAAGGAGTAAATATTTTATTTGTGTTAGTAGATAAAGAAAACATAAGAGTTCCATTCTTATGTTATGGGGAGCAGCAACAGAGTGGACACGCTCTTGTCTTTAAGCTTGCTAATTCATGCTATTACACACTAAAAATTTCCCTATTTTTTCTTAAATTTAAAAAGTCCATAACCCTGAGTTGCATTTACAGGTACTGAAAAAATATCTGTACTCCAATTTTCTGCATTCCATAGAATGAACTTCCGGTAAACAGAGGTATTCCTGAATACAGTTAAACAAAGTTACAAATTTAAACAAACATCAATACTTACGTCGCAAAGTTTGTTCACCTCTGCAGGCTTGAATAAAGTAGAGGCGAGGCTTGTTTAGAAGAGCCTGACAGTAGCATAACTTTCGAATATCTGTGATGGGAATGCAGGAGCGATCATGTAAAATTAGTTGATCTGAAAAATAAAAATAATACCTGTACTCGTGTTTGGTTACCAGTAATCAAATTCACATGTATAATTGCCTGAAGGTACAGTGTATAGTTTTCCACCCCTCAGTGGCCTTTTCAAACATGTGGCCAACAATATAAGTTGGACCATCCTGGACCAATGAAAATGAAGTGTCTACTCAGTTGAGTGCATTTGTTATACAGTAGCCTTGGGTACGTAAGTTAGCACTTTTTCACTGTGATTTTTTATTTATTTCATGGCAACCTAAATTACTGTACTACCATTTTCCTGATAACCTAACATTAAGCTAAATTATTACTCAACAAGTGATAGCAGCAAAGCACAAAGGGCAAACAACAGGTTCAGGTGACGGTGGTAAACACTGAATATGGTACTGTACTCCCAAACACCTGCAATAATAATAAACGGTTTTGAAGTTAAACAACTCATTTATTAATATCGACCTTGTATATTAACAATGTGGTTCAGAGTTAAATGAATAAGTGAACCTAATTTGTACAAATTTCAAATTGTTTGTAAAAAACGAATAACAAATCACTATGATGAACAACAAAATTGATACACAGCATATCAAACATACAAAAGCTCATATGAGGGGCTCCAGACCATAATCTGCTAAGTCCACAAAAAGGAAATGGAGGAAAATAGTCAAGTAGGAATGTGTGACATGCAATAATTTTTTCAGAGGACTCTCACCTACATGTACATGTTCCTAATTGGCTCTCTGACTTACCCAGGGACAGAGGAGTGGTTGGGGAATACGATGCAATACAAAACACATTTCAGCAATATATGGCTCTTAGCAGGTTATGGTCCAGAGCTCCTCATATTTTATGTTCCAAAAATAGCTCATTCCACACTCAAACCATCCTCTGGGAGATGCCATACAGTTCAGCTGGACAGTCAGTGATTTTAAATTCTGTAGGTGGTTGTCACTAAAGTCATGGATAAAAAGAAATATAAAAACGTATCATATATATCATATGATTTACCGGTAATGTATTTATTACATTGGTTAGGCCTAAAAACATAATCCCCAAGTCCCAGTCTATTATCCCTGAGTCTTCTCATGGTTCTGAACACCAACTGAAACCCTGGCAGTAATCTTACCTTGTTCATCTCCATGGGTCATGATGCACACAGCCAAACAGGAAACAGATGCTACCCATGGGTTCATTCGGAGTTTCCTGAAATACTGTTGAATCTTCTCAAAATCAGGATTATCAAAATGCATCACATGGAATCCAAACAACTTGAAGGTTCCTGCAAGCCGTTCTTTGTCAATGTCTGATCCGTGTCGTTCCAAAAGTGGTGTCTGTAAAAGGGGAAAATAATCCTGGAGTTCCTATTTATGGAATAATCCAGAGCCCAAGCGATTCTTGTACAGTGAGTTCTGCTATAACGCGTGTTTTGATAACGCGAATTTGCTCCAACGCGATTTATGAATTAGGAACGATATTTGTATAACGTGAACGCTTGTTTGCTATAACGCGATTTTTGCTTACTATTTCTCCAATTTTGTGGTACAGTGGGGTATGCTATAACGAATCTAATTGGTTCTAGAACCTTGTTCGTTATAGCATTCGTTCGTTATAGGATTAATCCGTTCCAGGCCCCCAAATACAACCACTTAACACTGAAAAATATAATATAAAATTGTAAAAATTGTAAAAAAGTGCATAAATATGCATCTAAACCCCTGAAATAAAGAATATCATTAATATTTGTAATAAAAAAACAATAAATTAGAAAAAAAAAATTAAATACAGTTGGTCCTCATATTACGCGGTTAATGTAACCCGGAGGGTACCGCGGAAAGTGAGAAACGCGTAAAGTGAATAACATAACATATGGGATTAATTGAAATGGAGTCCGGGCCGATCCCCAAACTCCACTTTTTGACGACACACAACTATGTTGTAGTAAAAATATTATCTTAACTTTATGATGGCATGCACACACAATTAATAATTAAGAGAAATATCAATAATATTAGGTTTTTTAACACTTACATTAGTAGAAAAGATGGCTGGGCACACGGGGATGGGCGGTTGGTTCCGAGGCAGAGGGCAGATTATTGGCCCTCACCTGTATCACTTGTATCAATTGTATCACTATCCACCACAGAGGCTTGCAGGGCCTCTTTGTCAAACCCCCCAAAGTTCATATAAGTCCATATCCTCACTATAATTATCACTATCACTGACTTGGGCCGGCTGTAGTGGGTGGCGGGTGAAGAACTGGTCATGTTTTGATGACTGGGCGACCTTGTGCGCACCATTTTCGCGCCTCTTACACAACATGGCGGATGGCGGGAGGTTTGGATCCAAAAATGGCGCGGCTTGCCAGCCGCTCTCCGCGTAATGGGGTTCACGACCGCGGAATGTGAAAATGTTAGGTTCTGGCAAGGCACCGCGTTAACGGTGAAACGCGGAATGCGGGACCGCGTAATATGAGGACCAACTGTAATGTTCGTTGTAGGAGTTTCGTTCGTTATAGCATTCTCAATTTTATAGGTAAAACCGTTCGTTATAGGAATATTCGTAGTAGGATCCATTCGTTATAGCATACCCCACTGTATTAACTGTGAATATAGTAAAGAAGAATATCAACAAGAAGCGTTCTGGTGATAGAATTCCCGGTGATGATCGTAAAAGAAAGGATATAACACTTGAAGAGAAGCTCGGTGTTATCAACCTCAAAATCACCCTTCTCCCTCATCAAGTTATATTCATATTTTTTCAAGGTAAAGTGTTACATTTACTGTATGATTTCATTATTAGATATGAATGTAACATTTATTTAGACTGTGCTATCCTTTGTGTTAGGCTAACTACTAAATTTTTTTTCGATTTCGAGTAGTAATCTGCACCTAACCCTATTTTCTCCATAAGCCCTGTTATTTCTATTACGCGATTTTCTATAAAACGATATTTTACAAGAACACAATTATCGCGTTATAGCAGAACTACCTGTACCACAGTGTGACTTACAGTGTCCATGAGTCTACAGACAAGCCCCCCTTGTCAACCACAGTTAATCTGTTAATCCATTCACTAACTCCAGTCCCTGATCCGGCCCTATATGCATGAACACTGGAATGCAAGGAACATGAAACATCCAGTGATGTTGGCCGCTGTCCCTACAGCTAATATAAATATAATTGACGCTGGTTGCCATTTGAGGGTTAAAGCCATAACTGCCCTGTTCAGTACTCACTTCTCATAGTAATGGCTCCCCCTTCTATGAATCACCATGGAAACTTAGGCAAAGCTGACAAACTACATGTTCAGGTCCAGTTGATTATCTTTCAAATTTTCTTTCTGTAAATTATTAAGAGCAAAGTACTGTACTGTACAAGGTACCTCAGGTAACAATGTTTACTTCCACATTGGACATACTGTAATAGTCCACTGCCTTGGGTGCTGTAAGTCAGTACACTGTAAGAGATGAACATGTATCATAATACTTTTGGCTATTAGAGGTTTACTTTTCTGATAGCTAAGGCCAACACAAAATAAGAGTACAGTACATTACTGTAATATTCTTGTACAGGTAGTACTGTATGTTACCCTGATTGCTTAACCCTCCCCTCCCTTTGCTAAAAGTGTCAATTGGGGGATATACAGTGCCATGGTATGAAGTAATTGTCAATTGACAATCAATGTTTCTGTGTCATTTTGAAAAAAGTGTGGCTGAACATTGTATGTATATTATGTATGCTGTATGTATATTATGCATGTACTCCATTTATATACATTATTTATTCAGCATACATAATATACATACAGCATACATAATATACATACAAACATCAAGCTTGGGAAACCGGACATGTGAATTTTTATGCTCTGGGCTGCTGGATGAGCATTTAGGACCCCTAAAGCCTCAGTTCCAAACTTTTAGCCATAAGACACATGAGCCTCTGTGTTTCACACCAGTGCCAAGCATTAGGCACCCACTGATTACCCCACTGAAAATGAATACGATATTGGATGAGAATAATGAAGAAGAAACTTTGTGAATTCTAAACTAAAATTCAGTGATGAAGAGGAAGAAGTAGAGTGTAGTAACATTCCTCTAACAGGGGTTACCAAATAAGGAATTTTAATCACACATTGCCTCAGACATTCCCCTGAGATGGGACACTGAATGCAACTCTATGTTGTGTTTTTCTGTTGTTTTAAATGCATAGTAATATTTCTAAAAAGTAAATTTAAAAACCCTGATTTTTTGCTCATAGTGGTACAGTACCCAGATATATTAATTGAACAGTACAAAAGTTAAGCAAAGTGAGTGTACAGTATTTATTTTTGCATATGTACAGTTGCATATTGTCCTGTTAATTAGGCACTATCTTCTCACAACTTCACACAGAACAGTGACTCAGGTTTTAGGACAATTGGTCGTTTACATACAGTGTCATTCATTTCTCTGGGCTTCATGAAGGTCTTAATGTTGATGATGATGCAGAGTCCATGAGGGTAGCCCATGGGCAAGGGGTAGTAGTTCTCTTCAGTGATCTGTGAAGTCTGTGATACCAAGGAAGGTGTGCGAGAAGTTCCTGAAAAGATGTACATTTGAGGTGAGAGTCAGTTGTTGGACAGACCATATACTCTATATCATCTGTAATTTACTTCTGAATACCAACCCTAACTAACTACAGGTACTGTAGTCAATGAAAAAACCTTTTGCCCAGTCCATGCTGCCTGACCTGAGCCAAACCTCCCATACTGATGCAGCTTATGATTAAAACTTAGTCATTCTTATTCTATCTACTGTTTCTATATATCTATCTCAAACTTCCCTTGCAAATTCTGTCAGACATTAAAATGACTCAGCCAGAACCTCCAACAAACACAATTTCTAAGCATCAAATATCCCACCACATAGAGACTCCCTCATCTTTTTCTTCCACCTAAATTTTAATCTTTGTTTCCACACCAATCAAGACATACACTTTCTTACATCTTAGCTACATGTTTCGTTCAAATGATTGAATCAACTTAGTTGGCCATCTTTTGGTTGCTGAAAAATTTCCCTGAAAAGAACTCAACTCCATCTCATTGGCCTCACCCACATATATGTAACCACCTTCCATAATCTCCCTGAGCCACTTCTAAGAAAATCTGTCTCACTGAACTTACTCTATTCTTCCACTGAATTTTGAGTCACCCTCTTTCCGTTCTCCCTTCCATTCCACTTAGTTTAAATAAATGTCTACAGAACATTACCAAAACTTGTAAAAAAATTACTCTTAAGAATGATGAAGGGATGTAAGTATGAAGCAAGAGTGTCTCTATCCTCTTCTAACAGTGCTTCAAATAGCTCTGTAACGAGTTGCCAATAGTTGCCATCATTGAGGTTGCGCACAAAAGTTTCCTCCAGGGGCCGTCCCATATCAGGGCAATACCACCCAGGCAATCTGTAGAACCAAGGAATATATGTAATCCTTAAAAATCTTATCTATGGGTGACCCTTATGTCTGTGATAGATCCTAATACTAAAATATGAAGATTTGATTCTGAAATCCTGCTTTCTGAGCTCAGTACAAACATTCTCTTTGCAACTATGGTACACAAAGATATATTTTTAGTTGTAAAGAAACACCTGAATATTTTTTAGGAATTTTTGGGTGCAGACATCAGAGTACGTATTCAAGTTATTACAAAACAATTATAAGGACCTACTTCCAATATCTTCCCAAGCAGTAATACCCCCGTGTTTGATAGCTGCCTATTGTGAGGTGAAACTGTAATAAATAAATTAATAAAGTAGTCCTAGCCACTAAGGTCTACCAAAGCTCTATACCCTTGGTCTTAGCTTTTTAATGAGTCACTTGGGGAAGGCATCTGGTTATAAACATGATATATGTAGTACCACAGCTTTATACTACAGGTTTTCTTCATATAGTTAAAAATCTAAGAAACTTAAATAGGTTAATTAGTGAGTCACAATATTTTCCAATGCTTTAAAATATAAAGATTTCATTTGAATTATATGCTGTATTGCACAGTATTACCTCTTATGTATAAGTTGGTCAGCTTGTTCCTGAGCCATGCCAGCAAACACACAATACAAAGCTTTCCGGTCTGAGGCAACACTACTTAGTCTCTTGAAAACCTGTAATACACCACAAGATATGTAAGAACTATACAACAAGTACTGTACTTCTGTAATTTCTAAGCTCTAATATAACAAAAAAATCTTTAAAAAGTTTTTATATGTACAATATCTCCCACTTTTGTTTTCAAAAGTACATGTACTGTACTGTACTGTACTGTATATTTTTTCCCATTTTTGTGAATAAATAACTCTCAAAGGTCTGAAAAGGTATGGGAATGGTAAATTATATATTATTCATGGTAAAAACCTTGTTTTATATATACAGTATATATACAGTATATATATATATATATATATATATATATATATATATATATATATATATATATATATATATATATATATATATATATATATATATATATATATATATATATATATATATATATATATAAAACAAGGTTTTTACCATGAATCATCAGAAAAATTCACATCTGTCTATCTCAATCAAGATTAACAAGAAGAGATACACGTCCTATCTTTTTACAATCTACAATAGATGTGACACTCTATTACAACCTACTTTGTGAAGATTTTGGTTAACAGTGAGGCCCAATCTGTCCTCCAGTAAGTCATAGCGACCAAGGATGTAGAGCGCCTCCAACACTTCCTCTAGGTGACCACAACTTTGTCTCACAGCATTAACCACTTGTTCTAAGGCTTCCTAAATGAATGAAAATAAATAAATTAATGAATATATATATATATATATATATATATATATATATATATATATATATATATATATATATATATATATATATATATATATATATATATATATATATATACAGTATACTACAGGGTATATATACAGTACAGTACTGTATATTGTCTTTTTCTTTTTTCATGGATGAAATTAAATCCACCTCTGATATAATCCTTGGAGCTGTTTGTTATACTGTACTGCATGGTAATGCAACTGTTGAGGACTGAAAAATTCATAAAAATAACATTACAAAAAACTTATTCCTTCCTGCTTTTGATTTTTGGCCTTTTCATGAGGTAAGAAAAAATTTATCTTCTACAGCAAAATTTCCTCAAGTCATCGAGTGTCATTAAATGTAGTTCCTGATGCCATAAGCCTGCTTACATCAGCATACCTACAAAAATAGCTCACTCAAGTAAATAAAATAAATAATAGCTCACTCAAGCACTCACCTTAGCTCGACCATCACACATATACTGGAAGTGTTTGTATCCTTGTCGTGTGAGGTAGTCAATATCTAAGACCAAGAAGGCAACACTGATGGCCTCAAATGTGTCCAACTCTGTTAATATTGTTATGGCTTGAGAACTGTGAAAGAATACCAAGAACACTTGTTACTGTATAAGCAGGAATTATTGTATCTCTTAAAAGAACTTTTTTGCTAGGGTGCTGAGTGGCCAGAATCATATATTTAAGGAAGAACTATAATGCTAAGTGGCCAGAATTATATATTTAAGGAAGAACTATGGTGTTGAGTGGCCAGAGTAGAAGTAGTACATACAGTTTTCTATGTCACCATATTTAAGAACATTAAAGTGTGTCAATAAGTAGCATTTTAACTTAACAGGTATTTATGTAATCCTTATCAGTTAAATCTGAAAAATGGGTTACTGATCTTATAGGCATTAACCTTCATTTCTTTTATCATCAATAAGAAAATAAAAAAAATTCACAACAAATACAGAAAAATAATTTATGTACGGTATGTGTTTGGAAAATTGTTACATAACTGTTGAAAGAGAATGTAAAATACTGACAATGATATACAGCACACATCAAAACAGTACTGTATTGTACTGGCTGTCCACAAAAGAATACCACACTTCACCTGAGCTGTGTTCTAGGAGAGTCACCAGCAGATTATATTTTAAATACTACTGACTAATGTAAAAAAATATATAACTATAAAAATAACAATAATATTAATTATAAACAAAAAAGATACTGTATTAATATTTATAGGATGTACTATTACTTCTAATAGCATGTCATTATGATCAACATTTTACAGTCACTTTCCACACTTGTATGTGATAGCTTACTCAAGTCTGCTTGTGTCATCAAATGCCAGTGTTTTGCAGCTATGTAACATGACACTTTTCATGCCAGGCTCATATATTCTTCATTTCACATGTGATCAATAATATCTATGAATTATTACTACTTATACCATGTGTTCACCAATAAAGAGCTGAAAGACATACTTAAACCTAACTTGTGCCATTAGCAAAGTTTCGGAGGGATTCATGATGACCTCCAGTGACGCCGCATCGCTCACTACTGCCATGGTTGTTTGTGAGGCAACTTTTAGAGCAGGATCTGAGGATCTGGGGGAGAAAATAAGAAAGAAGTAGACATACTATATGATAAATAGCAGCAATGACTGCCTGAAAATAAATGACTCAGACTATGATATTATACCTTTTATAACATATTATTTGAGGTTAAGATAAGGTAGGTTAAGTTGAGTCTAGTTGGTTCTTTTAGTTTGTTTCAATATAAGTCCAGAGGTAACCCATGAGACAAAAGACAGAAAGACAAAAAAGTAAATTTAAATTCTTGGGGTGTATATGTGCTACTATTGAGGCAATGAAAAAAAAATCTTCTACACAAGTCTCTAAAATAGCTACTGTAGATTAGATGTGTTAGAAAACTAGGATATTAACATCACTTCTCAAGACAAATTTGTACAAATGTCAATTATTACTTTTTTTCTACTCAAGTGAAATTCTGAAGACATAATATTGTGGCAAATGAGAAACACACGTACTGGTGTGCTCTGTCCACCCAAGGATGCCATACTTGTGTTTCAACTGTTGACAAATGGCTCCCAGTGACGTATTGAATGTTAAGTGATTGAACGAGTCCCTGTGAAGTGTCTGTGTGTTTCTGTCTTTAAACCATTCTACACTCATGTAAACAGTCAATATGGCATCACTGGGAGGTACTATATAGCCTTAACCTAGGTTGGTGTTTAGGATGAAAAAAAATTGCCCCAAAATATCATGAAAATTGCAATTCCTCCACTTGTTCTGCGATATTCTTGAGGTGAGAAAGAAGTTATCTTCTGTAAAAAAAAAAAATTAAAGTTGTTGGTTAAACTGGCCCCTGACTACATGATATGCCACCTATGACAGAGAGACAAGCCCCCTAAAAGACAGAAAAGCTATCTAAGAGAAAGAAAGAGATATATCACCTGAAACAGACACACACTTAAGACAGACATACGGTAATTATTGTAAGCTTTCCCGACGCTGATTTTTCATCGAGATCGAATTTAAAAAAAAACGCAATTTCACTGTGTTTTATTGTGGACACTGTCAAAGTTATGGCAAATGTGTTAAAAAGTGTTTACTTAAGTTAAACTAAACCTAACCTAATGTAACCAAACTTAACCTAACCTTAACGTATCATAACATAACCTAACTTTAACCTAACCTAATGTAATTTAACCTATCCTAGCATAAGTTAACACGGGATATGGGCAAACATATAACTCATAGGCGGTATAGTCTTCAATATTAGCCAGATATATAATTCACCTTCTAGTTGAGATAAGCAACCTAAAAGAGAAAGATAAGTCAAATTAGAGAGATAGAGATATATAAAGTACTTAAGAGCGAGAGATAAGGCGTGTAAGACATAGATAAACCATTAAGAGAGAGAGAGAGCTCAGCCACCCACTTGTTGCGTCTCACACCAGGAAGGTTTTGTTGATTGTTATTGTTGTCATAGTTAATGTTCAAAGAGTACCACGGATAAGTTAATTCACTCAAAAGTTTCATTGTTTGGTGATTTTAACAAATGAATATTGTCTAAAAATTTATTTGAATCTTAATTTAATGTTTACATCTCTTTTCTTTTTTTATAGTTGAAAAAAAGAATGAAAAAGTAGTGTAGTTGTCTTATTCGTGGTAATTTTATAGCATTAGGTGTGTTTAACGGGTATTCCCCGAGTCCAATCCCACAGCCCGTAGACATCAAGCCCTTTAATCTGAGTTTAATTTATCATCTTGCCGCTTATCAGCTTAAATATATAAGTAACGACGACCAAGCTAATCATAATTTATGATCTTTCTATACGGTGAAGCAATTGTTTTCGTATTCTTTATATCAATGATATTGGTTGTATCATAAGTTGTAAATTAAATTTTATTTATAGTAATAATATTAGCTTTATTTATTATTAATTACAAACAGATTATTGTACGAAAAACTACTAGGACCCGTGTTATTTTGTACTTTTAGCGCACACATGTATGTAGGACATCCTTTAACTTCGTGGGATCCGGTAGGACAACATGAGCCCCATGGGGCCTCCTGTACCCAAATGAGATCCGCTGGGTCCAGTAGGAGATTCTAAATCCCCCAGGGCCCGTTTAGGTCATCTGGGTCAGGCTGGACATCTTGTCCCCATGGGTTTCTCTGGGGCCCGGTAGGACATTCTGGAACCTATGGGACCCTCTGGTACCTGATAAGACCCTCTGGAGCCCAAGGGATCCCCTTGTGTACGGTAGGATATCTTGGACTCCATGAGGCCACTCGGGGACCCTCTGGACTTCCCTGGGGCCCAGTAGGATATCCCGGAACATCATGGGATCCACGGGACCAGGAAGGACATAAGTTCTATATGACAGGCTTAGAATGTATTCAACAGTATCTTTGACAGACGCGAGTTTACCCAGGGTATCAACTCTCCCGGTAGGACTCCCAGAATCCCGGTGAAAACCTTGAAGTTCCTGCTTTAAGCCCCATGGGAACTCCTGGGTCCAGTGGGACATCATATTTTCCTGGGACCCTCTGAACCTAGAAGAAATCTCTCTGGGACCTCCCCCCCCCCCTGGGCCCGGAAGGACAACATGGGTTATGTTAGAGTGAAACAATACAAAAATCTCAGTCATGATCAAGTCGTGATGGTAAAATAGATAATCATTGGCAGTGGTAATTTCTATCGTCAGCTGCTGCATCTTTGGACGTTTTTATATCTTAGTTCCTTTGCCGTGACGGGGGGACAGGAACAACTCATTTTACTGTCTCTTTTGAAGGGAGGTTCTAAAGTCCTCACGGTGATCATAACTGTTCTCAACAAGATTCCCGCCAATATTGATAAAGTTATTCTAGGAGAGGTTGGTAATGAGGGAGAACTTTGTTACTGTCACACCATCTATTGCAAAAGTTGAGCGTGTGGCCGAAAGTTGTTTCTACAGAATTAGTAATAATCAAAAATGTTCTTCCCTTGCATTATTATTATTATTATTATTATTATTATTATTATTATTATTATTATTATTATTATTATTATTATTATTATTATTATTATTATTATTATTATATATGAGCGAGACTTACTATTTTTTCTGTTTCATCTTCGTTCTTCTTGCAAACAATTATATAACAATTAATCGACGTTTCTACAAATTCTCGCATAATTAACCTAAAACTGATAATGCCTTTACCTGGAACTAATGCAGCTTGACAATCGTTTTTTTTTACTTTAGTATTTTTAAGAATTCCATGAGAATCAAACTGGAGAAAACTTTACATCTTGAGGTTCCACGAAAATGTAAATGTTCCTGTTATGATGATGATGATGATGATGATTATGATGATGATGATGATGATTATGATGACAATGATGATGATGATGGTGAGAGTATAATTAATATCGTATCAAGTGTCAACTGCGTGATGGGCGCGAGACAAGATCATGAAATAAAGGAAGGTGGAATTGATCTGAGACTTAGCTTAGTGGGAGACCAAACACCTCCCAAGATCACTAACTGCCCCACGGAGGGGATGGAGGAGGGGAGGGGCAAGGGAGTGGCGAGGCTCTGGGTGGTGGTAGTGGTAGTGGCGGCGGCGTGTGGCTGTCTGGCCGAGCTGAGACTGTGAGAGTACGAGGCCAGTGTGGGTCGGGTGATGGAGGCGGCAGGCTGTGTGGCTCCCCGCCGGCCAGTGACCTGCCAGGGACGTACACACTGCATGACCAGGACACCTCGCGCTTCGCGTAATATCCACTTCAACATGCCACGTTATGTTCGTTATCTTTAATAACATTGAAAATACCATTTCAACTACTGTAGAACAAATAATTCAAACTACAGCACAATGACTGACTTACGTAATTCTCGAACTACAAATAAACAATACTACCAGATAAAAAAAAATATATGATAAAATTTCGTTCCTTGCCCAAAGTTGATAATTAATCATTAATGCAATGAGTGTGTAATAAGCTAATGGATTACAGAAACTGTAGGAAGTGTACAGTACTAATTTTCTGTGTTGTGATGTGTGTGGGGGAAGAAATCGGAGTTTAAGACCATCATGGAGCCGGAAACAGAGATAGGAAGGGACACAAAAGACAATCTCCAAATGCTCTGTGGTCCTCCAGCGTCGTGTGTGGCGTGACGGAGGTAAGCTGATCCAGGTACAGTAGTCAGCGGTGATTTGTGTCGTTAATGTTGATATGAGTAGAGGCATGAGTTAGTTGTTCTTCTGTAATTAAGATGTTGACCTAAATTAGCTGTTTATCAGAGCATGGATGTTGATATACACTTGTTAAATTAGTTGTTTATCAGTGCCAAGTTGTTTACATAAAATATTTGTTTATCAGTGCCAAATTGTTTACATATATTAATTTAAGTATCAAAGGTTTATTATGTTTTTTTTAGAATATTATGGCGACTTTATCATCTTTATTTTGTTGTCTATTTGTAGGAGGTGGTGGGAAGGGAGGAGGATGGTGAGTGTTGGAGGTGGTGGGGAAGGAGGATGGTGAGTGTTGGAGGTGGTGGGAAGGAGGAGGATGGTGAGTGTTGAGGTGGTGGGGAGGGAGGATGGTGGGGAGGATGGGTGTGTTGGAGGTGGTGGGAAGGAGGAGGATGGTGAGTGTTGGAGGTGGTGGGAAGGGAGGATGGTGAGTGTTGGAGGTGGTGGGAGGGAGGATGGTGGGGAGGATGGTGTGTGTTGGAGGTGGTGGGAAGGAGGATGGTGAGTGTTGGAGGTGGTGGGGAGGGAGGAGGATGGTGAGTGTTGGAGGTGGTGAGGAGGGAGGAGGATGGGAGGATGATGTGTGTTGGAGGTGGTGGGAAGGAAGGAGGATGGTGAGTGTTGAAGGTGGTGAGGGAGGGAGGAGGATGGTGGGGAGGATGGTGTGTGTTGGAGGTGGTGGGAGAGGAGGATGGTGAGTGTTGAAGGTGGGGAGGGAGGATGGTGAGTGTTGGGGATGGTGGGAGGATGGTGTGTGTTGGAGGTGTGGGGAGGGAGGAGGATGGTGAGTGTTGGGGGTGGGTGAGGAGGAGGAGGATGGTGGGAGGATGGTGTGTGTTGGAGGTGGTGGAGGAGGAGGATGGTGAGGTTGGAGGTGGTGGAGGAGGAGGATGGTGAGTGTTGGAGGTTGTGGGGAGGGGAGGATGGTGAGTGTTGGAGGATGGTGGGGAGGATGTGTGTGTTGGAGGTGGTGGGGAGGGAGGGGGGATGGTGAGTGTTGAAGGTGGTGGGAGGAGGATGGTGAAAGTTGGAGGATGGTGTGTGTTGGAGGTGGTGGTATGGAGGAGAGAGAGAGAGAGTTGAAGAAGGTGGTATGAAGGAGGCGTCGTTGTACAAGATGAGTTCTATAAACCAAGACCCGAAAAACACGCCAAGCATCGGAATCTACAAGACAGTGTTACATTTCCGATAAGGGGATTTCCAGCTAACTTTAATCTCGTATTTCTCCCCCTCCCTCCCCTTCCCCACTACACCACAACAATCTTCTCCCCTTTCCTCACTCCCCCTTCCCCCCAATCCCATCCCTCCCCCTTAAGTCAGCGTCCGGTCATCAGGTGTCACAAACTGTTTCACTCCACTACAGCAACCCATTAATGGCACCTCCTCCTGGTTTGTTCTTTCTTGTTCATAGCTAGTCTCAGCCTCCTACTCGTTTTATTGATCTCTACCAGGGACTACTACTACTACTACTACTACTACTACTACTACTACTACTACTACTACTACCACGCCCTCTCACGCCCATCCTCCCACTTGTCCACTACACATCTATACACCACCACCTTCACACGACACAACCTTTCACATGTCCTTCTCTCTTTATACCCGCACTATCACCACCCTCACAGTTTCCCAGAGCCTCCCACACTCTCATCAACGCACCAACACCACCCTCACAGTTTCCCAGAGCCTCCCACACCCTCTTCAACGCACCAACACCACCTCTACAGTGTCCCAGAGCCTCCCACACCCTCTTCAACGCACCAACACCACCTCACAGTTTCCCAGAGCCTCCCACACCCTCATCAACGCACCAACACCACCCTCACCGTGTCCCAGAGCCTCCCACACCCTCATCAACGCACCAACACCACCTCTACAGTGTCCCAGAGCCTCCCACACCCTCTTCAACGCACCAACACCATCTCTACAGTGTCCCAGAGCCTCCCACACCCTCTTCAACGCACCAACCCCACCCTCACAGTGTCCCAGAGCCTCCCACACCCTCTTCAACGCACCAACACCACCTCTACAGTGTCCCAGAGCCTCCCACACCCTCAGTGACGTAATCATTGTAGCCTCACCTTAGATTAAACCTCATCTCCCCCCCCCCTGTGTCAACTCTACACTCTCACAGCCTCTTCCTCCTCCCCGTCAACAGCTGGTTATCTTACACCTCATTAAATTGTCATTACCATCACCTCATAAGTTACGAGTTTTTATATCATTAATAACTACCATATCAATTGTTATCGTTGTTACAGTGGTTAAGTGCCTACCGACTGCTAAGCGGTATAAACATTTTGACCCGTTGACAGATTATCCTATGGGTGGGTTTGGTAAAGGCATCAAGGAGAGTGTATAGATATTTTGTTGTTATCCGAACTGATTCACCACGTTATTTGTGTATTTACAGATTTCACAAGTTCTTTTACATACCTGAGATGACGAACTGTGGAACAAATGTAAACAAATCCTTACCTGTGTATAGATGGAGCTGTAGTATCGCATTTGAATTATGGTACAGGTTTAAAATATAATATAATGGATGATTTATTAATGGTTGTTCAGTATTTATTAGTTTATTCTATTCAGATGATAATTATGATTCATTAATAAATAAGTTACTCAGGTGAACACTTTTGGAGGGCTTGACATTGTTACGACTGTGTCGTATTTTTCTTTTTTTTTATATAACATGCTTCCATATTATTCCTGTAATGCTGTGTTGTATTCACTATTATATAATCTAATCACCTTACCCTTTGCTGTTTAGGTTTTAACTGTTATTTGTTCAAACCCATTTTGTATTGTAACCAGCATTCTTTGTTCTCTAACGACCATCTGCATCGTTAAACGACCCACCGGCGGGTCGCGTGGCGGGAGCCGACCTTATATATAGGACCCACCAACTGACTTGAGTCAGTTCAGTCCTCTTGTCATACAGTCCACATCCTTTGAGTGTCACTTGTTACTGATACTTAATTTGTTTGTGTTGTTCCTGTCGCCACCAATGTGGTATATCTATGTGAGTACCTATTTATGTCTCTGTTTGTGTCCATCAGTATTTGCTTAGTTGTATTCAAGTAATTCAGTGTTGTTTCACGTTAGTTAATTTCAGTGATAGTTTTTATATGTTTATGCAGTGTTAACGTAATCCAATGCTTTATTTTTATTCTTTTGATGTTTCGATGTTTTGTATCACTTGTGTCTTAAAAGTTTCGATGGTGAATCAATTTGTTGTGACAGCCTACGAGGCTCTTTATTGTGTTAATATTTAATCCATTAAATTCTTAAAGGTTTACTTTATTTATTTTTATTCTCTTATAATTTACTTCACTTTTTGTTTGGTTACGCCTAGAACCTGGATATTTAAGTAAATTAAGAGACGGCGTAACAACATTTAAGACCGTCAACAGTGGTATAATGTTTTAGTAATAAGCTGTACTGTTCAACTTGGTGTTAATCATCATTGTAGAATATGTATGAGAGGTCGTAACTGTAGGTCTTTCCCTCAAATGGCCTAGTTACCTTAGGTCGTTTTCCTTTGCATGAGGTGATCACAGCCAGGCTTCACCCAACACGTGTACACTCTTGTTTTTCTCCTGTGTTTTCTTCTGTTATTGTGTCTGGTACTTAACGGTATATTTTATTTTTGTTTTATAAATGTTTGGTGCCGTTTAAATAGTCTTTGGTACTGTCTGGTACTGTCTGGTGTGGTATAGTATTCTCAGAAACTGGCTAGTGTTGCTGGGTTGTGTTGCTGATAGTTTCTAGTTTTGTCTGGTAGTTTGATGTAGTCTGGTCCTGTCCATCACTGTGTATCAGCGTTTGGGAGTGTCGACGCCCGTGGGACCCTGTTATCTCGTCACGTGTGGGGCGGGGCGGGCGGGGCGGGCACAGTACTTCAGGGGAACCAACCACCTGATATACCATCTGGTCATCAGTCGCTTCTTCAGGCATCTCCGTCTGGCGTAAGTCTGGCGCTCAGTAGCTCCAGCTGTATAAATATAACTCTGACTTTTGATCGCACTATATTTCATACACATATATCTGGCAGCTGGGTGTTACGTGTTTTCTTTTCTCTCGGTGTGAAGAACCGCTTGTTTGTGAAGAGTTTGTTTTTTTTCTTTTAATTGTACACATCAGTCGTAAATCTTCAAATAAAACATTCTTAATTATGGGGTTTATATAGTTAGTCATTATTCGTTCCTTCCCTCATCCTCCCGCCACTTTTTAACTCGCTAGGCGGTCGGTTAGTTCTCTGTGATGCACTGTTGGCAGGTACTGTACTGGCATCACCGGAACATGAGTCAGTGTTGATCTAACCTTGACCTAAGAGAGTTCACACTTGATGCAGCGCTAGTTAGGGGGCAGAGACATTTGATATTCCTCTGCTAAACCTTACTACAGGGTACACATGCAATCCAATTATTTTTTTTTTCTAGGAACACTGTTGTAAGAGACATCTAGTGGTGGATGTGGTCCCTTGAGGTATTTATATGTAGACAGGTCGAGTTTCATTTGCTACCCATTAGAAGATCGAGTGGTCTGAGCGGTGAGTGTAATATGGCCACTGTGGTATTAGAATTTCATCAGCTTTCTTTTCTCTTGTGCTCACAGGTAACACAAGACACGGGTAACACAAGACACGGGTAACAACACCACACAGGTAACACAAGGACACAGGTAACACAAGGCACAGGTAACACAAGGCACAGGTAATAAGGCAGGTAACACAAGGCACAGGTAACACAAGACACGGGTAACACAAGACACAGATAACAACAACAACACAGACAGGTACACAAACACCACCGGTAACAACAACACACACAACAACAACACCACACACACCACACCACTCGAATAACACCACACAGGTAACAACAACAACACACAAGTTACAGGTAACAGGTAACACCACACAGGTAACAA